ATTTAGTGATTGGTTGAAAGTATTCTCAAAATGGCAAAACTGCTACTACTTGGAGTGCAACAGTTATTACAGATACTTTAAATTGAGTAAAAGTATTCAGTTCATCTCTGTAGCCTACTTATGTGGATTTGGAGCATCTTGTGTCTGTGAACAGGTTTTGTGACTTGGGGCTAACTTCCTGTCCAGACAGGAAGTACATTCTTCAGTGTGGGTCTGCCTCTGGCCCATGTGTGTGTAAGTGTAAGTGGATGTTTACGTGGGGACAGGGATCAGCCATGTCACGGTATCTTACAATAACTGTCTGAGGAATGCAATGCACTTCCCCTGGTACCACTACTGAACACCTTTAACTCAACAGAACTCATATTTTAACATTACTCTATATCAAATAGTAGTGGACAGTGGTAAAACACTTCAAGACATTAAATCTTAATATTTACTGTTCTACTTTTTGTGGTGTACTTTCAGACTTGAAAGCATATTACAGTAGCTACATCACATACTATTTTTAATAAGACAATTGCTCAAATATGGAAACAGTTTAAAATTTTACTGGTTATTTAGTACCAATAGTTGTAGTTGTAGTAGTATATTATAGTAGTAGTGGTAGTTGCTGCAGAAAAAGAATTCATGTTGGTAATATAAGAAGCAGTGATAATGAAATCATTTGTATTTATATCCAAGGGTTTCATAATGGCGAAAAACAACTGGGCCAGTCGTGATTAACAGTTTTATACTAAATATTATATCTCATGAATGGGGGAAAATTGTCCTCCAAACTGAAATTCATGAATAGTTGTATAGATTTCTTATGTATATTGTTAAAGAGTGTACATAGTCTGCCATCAAACCTGATAATCTGAGTGGAGAATATGGGCCTGTTTAAAACATAAGCTCGTAGGAATGACAAAAATGCTGGATGTGAGTTTTCCTGAACTAATAAAGCCAGCTGAGTGATAATACCAGAGAATATATTGGCAGCGTATGCAATTATGTAATCCCTATGTTATGCATGATAAGTTACACAACACCATCCTCCTCCACAGCACAGATCTCAATGAATTAGCTTTTAAAAATAGCATGGAATTTACTTGGAAGTTAGTTTTGCTCACATTCTTTAAGAGTGAATCATCCAACCGTTATCCAATTTAGTTCAACATTTTATTACTTAGACATACTGTAACAATATTTACAAATTCTTCAAATGCAAAAAAAGGGAAAAATAATCAGTTGACATTTAAACAAAGATACTCCAGCAAAGTAATTTAGCACATTTACAATAATAAACAAACAACAAATAGTCAAAATCAGGCTCTTGAAACAGAACTTTCACACACACAATGCATTAAAAAATAAATTTGGTTGTAAAGTTAGTAGCTTTTTTGGCAGTCAACAGTTCAAATCATCAAGCCTGAGTATTTCTCCATAAGAAATAGTGTGGACAGTGCAATACTTTTGAGTCTACAGTAAGCGTACTAGTATCTACTTTGTACATACAGTGCTGGTGTTGCAACCACTAAAGCTTCATAGTAGGTCCCTTTGGCATCAGTTATGAAATCTGGTCAATGTCCATTTAAAACCAGACTTTAGCTTTGGTTCGAGCTGCAAAATCAAGAAACAATGTCCTTTTTTTTTTTATGGGAGTAGACGAGAGCTTGTCGATAGCTGGGACATTCTGGCATATGCATTGGAATCATACATCTCCAATGATCCGTGTACGCTGCTTGGAGCCCATGAAATCGGCGTGGTTGGGCTGCTAGCGTCCAATTCGGTTTTGACTCCTTCGCTGAGAGGACTTGAACTGGCCGAAGGCTGGCTCTGGTTTCTAACGCTGGGCAGCAACAGCGGGCTAAACCTGGGGTCAATTGTTGAGCTGTGAGCGGGGTACGGGTGGAGCATGGGGTGATGGTGAGGGTGACGAGGAGGGTGCATGGTGTGGCTGTGGGAATGGGTATGGTAGACATCGTGGACATTGGGATAGGAGGGACTGGTTTGAGGATTGAGGCTGTACGACCAGGAGTCAGCAAGGGTGGTGGGTGGAGGAGGTGGAGGAGGAGGGAGGCTGTTTTGTGAGAAGACATGCCCAGTCCAGATGGGGCTTTCTGGGGGGAAGGAGACTGGAGGGCTGGAGGAAAAGTCTGGATGTACCGGGACACTGGGCTGGGAGGAGCAAGAGGTGGTCCAACTGGAGTGACTTGGGGACTCGAGAGGAGAAGAGCCATCTGGAAAGATAGGAGAGGCTGAATTAGCAAATATGTTGGCTACTGCTACTTCTTTGTCATCCAAGTGTTCAGAATAGAGCACGATTAGGTAATATACAATGCAGATTTTAAATTTAATAGTCCCACCTGATGTAATCCTATACATTTATCCAGGCTTGGGATCTGCATTAAAATTGACAAGTAAGCCCCATTAGATATAGCCAACTACAATGTATGTACTATCACAATTCCTTTGAAGATACGAGTACACGAGACTGCTTTAAGCCATGAGCCAAAGTCGAACATATTAGAATTCAACCAGATTTAAGGAGTGCACTTGGTGGTCACTAAAGACATCCAGTATAATGTACATTGGATAGGAGGTAGCTAGAATGTAGAATGTGTTATTTAAGAAAGATGAAATTAATATTCGTCTAGACGAGTAGTCAGCTAAATCTGAACCACGGTATGTTTAAATGCTCACCTTTCCATGCTCCTGAAGAGGTTGATGGGGTTGATTGTGTAACTCGAAGTGGCTTGCTCTCAGCGCTGAAGCTACTGGCCTGGCTCAGAGCTCTTGAGAAGTGTTCGTCCACTACATCCCCGATTTCTCCTCTGAAATAAGTGAACAAAACGCAGCGGGCGCTCAGGTACTCCGCCTCCGCTGGCTGGTTACTGTCCTTCAGATCAGTTTCTGAGGGAGATCTTCGGAGAGGGCCTAATCCTGAAGCCTGGCGGTGGAGGTTGTGTGGCAGCATGGTTCTAGATCCAATAGACTGCTGTTCCATACACTCCTGCATCTTGTTGTATACACTTAGCTTCCTCTGCAAAAGTCAAAAGACAATTTTAGTGTTATAAGTCAAGCCAACGTCATTTGATTGGAGGAAAATATTAATTGTCCTGGGATCTCTGAGAAAAAATATTTGTACTGTAAGATAGCTTGGAGTGTTTAGGCATCTCTGCTTGGAATGCTGTATGGGCAAACTAAGAAACAAAATGGTTTTCGTTTATTAAAATCTAACTCAAGATAACCATTTGTTTGATATAGTTTGTGTTATTAACTTGTATTTTGAAGTGGCAAATGATCAGGTTTGTAAGCTACATGCTGTTAAACATTCCATTGTAATACCAATTAGTTGTAGCCACTGAGCTAAAGAAGTGTACTGTTTTTAATTAAGTTTTTCCTATGTTATCTTGAGTTCATCAGTTCTGCTAATGAATATGTATTAGTTTTTCCCATGCCACATTCCTATCCCTTGTAGCGCTCTCTCTGCACATTCCTAGGTGACGGGCGGGCTGTCATTACATCACCGTTTGACTGCACGATTAATAGTTGTGTGTCATTACGCCTGACCTGAGGCCAATACAAGACTTCAGACTGGAATCTAAACACTGAGAGCTTAAGTGATTGGGGGTGTGTATTCAAATACCAAAGTCAGCCAATACTGGAAAATGCTATGACTAATGGTTAATATATAAGAGGTTGGGAATAACACTAAAATCAAGCACAATTTTGGCCTTTTATTTGTCTTAACTATATTTTGGAAGAGTTGGCTTAGCTGTTTAAGGAATAACAAATGGCGTCTACATATATATTGATTTTTATGTTTTAAATAGTTAAATAGTTATAGTTTTTATGATAAAGTCCTCTCAAACTAGGTCCTAAGCTACTATAAATGGAGGAAAAAGCCAGTCAACTTTAAGTGTTACTTGAGTAAGTTTGCTAGAAAAATTGGGAGAGTCTTTGGTGCAAATGTCAAAAACGCTCAAAGTAATCGCAATAACATAGTTTCAATAAGTAATTTAAAATGGTTGCCCATACCTCATATTCAACTGCAAAGCAAAAGAAGGGTAAAGAAAGTTAGAAAAGTTGGTGCGTCTCACCTGTTGCTGCTGGTGGTTGTAGTACGTCGCCTTGTACGCAGCGGCTGGGAGGTAGTGCGCTCCATAGCTTTGGTGGTACATCACATCCAGGCAGCTCATAGCGGAGAGCGAGAGAGAGACGAGGAAAACGCGCGCAACACGAGCGAGGGTGACTTTCCCCGAGACTTCACACGGGCTGTGGGCTCCGGGCCGCCGCTGCCTCCATATATGCCCAAACACACACAAAGGCCATGTCGGGCAGTTTGCATAGAGACAATGCGCCTCCAGCTGTGCGCTCTTCTACGCACCACCCCGGGCCTCAGAATGGGCCAGAGCGCAACGGTGTATCCGAAAAAAATCTACAGGGACAAGTTTTGAGACTGACTCTGATTGGATAAGAATTGTTTCCCTGTGCTTTAAGGGGAGTTATATTTAGAAAAGAGACGCGGACTGTTATGCACGCCCACGAGGGAAGGGCCTACAATCTGGTACAGTTTAGGCACAAATTCCACGTGCCAAAAGGATTTACAAGCCTACAGTTGTGTTTTATTTATTTATTTAAACCTGATCCATTCTTAAAGACCATGATTATGTTGAGGAAAAAAATAAAACAAAAGCAGCCTCGTATTCGGATCCAGCATTGAAGACTTGGTCATAAGTGAAAGTGCGACAGGTGCACATATGCGCACAAGTGTTCATGATCTTATTGGCTTAACACAAAGATTGATATAGTCATTACACGCAGATTGTTATTTGATAGCTCAAAATCTCGCGAGTAATTCATATGCCATCAAATCATATTTACACTGTTGTCTATTACGTCTATCATGATTTTCCTGATTGAAGCTTGCTGCTGCTGAGTTGAGCTTTTTGCTGCCACCTGTTGGCGACTATAATAAAGCACACAGGCTCAGATAATTCTTGAAAACTCTTTATTTGCTAGACGAATTATGTCAGTTTGTTTCTTTATGGATTGGTAAATAGCATTTGAACAAAGCCTCAGATTTCCAGAGCACAAACATGTTCACCTAAAGTTAACTGCATCATCTTACAGTATATGGGAAACATAGAAATAGGGCATATGGGAACTTCTGTCTTCAACCAAACTTATATAGAATGGTGTTTAAACAAAGTTTGTCTCTCCATACATCACGCAAATGTTGTGTCCTGCATTTGTTTTGACAGGTGCCTTGGCACTTGGACAGCATCAGCAGTTGTTCAGGTGAGTGATGAAGATGGCACCATCCCCATCTAGTGTTCCGTCTGAGCACATGACAGCCTCCAAACTTACTTCAGTGCAGAAGCAAAAGTGGGCCAGTGGAGCACTCACAAATGCCCTGAGACAAACAGGAACTACAGCAACACAGTTTTATGGAGTTTTCAAACACACACAACATGAGAGAGAGTGGCAGTGACTGGACCTGCAGGCTTTACACATCTGGAGCAGTCTGAGTCTCCCTCCTCTGCGTCTTAATGAGGCAAAGGCCATAATTAGTCAATGTTTGGCAAAATTAGAGAAGAGAGAAAGCTATGGGATGGGAGAACTGCTTACAATTCTAGCAGGAAAATTCCTCAAAGAGTGAAAGAACTAAACCATTTTGAAATGCCCCAGTGCTACACATGTAGGTCACAAAATATGTCCAAATGCCAGAGGTATAGTAGGCAGTAAAATGTGTACACTTTACTACATTACAACTACACCTTATTAACCTTAATAAAGTATGCCTTTCTTCATGATAATTAATTTGATTTTCATTTCCATTTTATTATGCCTTTTAAATGACTAAAATTGCCTTTAAAATACATTTAAAACTAAATTCTCATGTCATATCCGATCCTAAACAAGTAAAATGATCTACTTTTAAATGACAAAAATACCAGCTTCTTAAATATGTTTAATTTCCACTCATGTTGGTTTTACTAATTAAACTGGTAATTTGAGCCTGCGTAGCATGTTTTGGAGACAGGTGCGTAGATAATGTGGCCTCACATTAAGCAGTGTGCAGCATCAGGAGCTCAGGGAGGTTTGTGTTCAGTCTACCGCCTCACAGGAGCTTGCACCTGTCTGAACCTGTCCCTGTGCTCAGCTGATGGGGCTAAAGCAGCAGGACCACAATGAGTCTCTGGCAGGTGCAAGCTAAATGCAAGCTATGAGAACTGAATGCAGAATTTTACAAAGAAAATATTCCAGAAGCACAGATAATACAGAGTCATAAACAGTAAGAATATATGGAGCTGCTATACCATTGGCACATATGTTTTTCAGCCAGATGCCCTTCCTGATCTCCACTAGCTTGTATCTGGTGGCATTTGTAAAGCAGAAGATACATAATAGGCAATCACCCGATTACCTTAGTTAGTTAATTACAGTGTGTACTTTGTTTTCCCATTTCCTTTCACCATGTTATTGTCACACTTGGAACAGTTTCTTACAATTATTGCGTCTTAATTGTTCATTTTCTTTGCCATACTCCTTACCCAACCAGGTCTGAACTGATCACAATAACTGACATAACCACACAATATATTTGCATGAGTCATTTCACCTTTCCCATTTACCTGAACCGACTGATAAATTGCTCACAGTAAATGATTTGAGCACAATTGTCCTGTATCCTCTGTGCACATGGGTGCTTACAGAGAGGGGAGATGGAGGGGGAGGGGTCTGCACATTAAAGCCTAATTAAAGTGCCATTAGTGCTTCTTCAACGTGATGCAACATGAATACAATTTTACTTTTTTCTGTATAATCATAAAACTTGTTCCTAATTTACACACTCAGATTTTCTATTAATTTTAGTGGGACAAAAACAACATGGATGGTGGATTCATTTGCTATGTGCTGCTGGTCTAATGAAACAAAGACTCTCATTTGTAAGTTAATGGGTAAATTTCCATTTCAGGCTCAAGGAAAAAGTGAGAAAAAGTGATTTGTTAGAAGAAAAGCAACACTCTGCATTTTCATTATAGCTGTGATCTCCCATCTTCAGTTTTAATTGTTCTAGTTGACTGTATATTGTGTATATTTGAGGCGTTTTAGGAAGATAAAATAAGAGTAGTGATTTCTAAGACAATTCATGAAACTGACTGAAAATAATAATAATAATAATAATAATAATAATAATAATAATCATCATCATCATCATCATCATATTTTGACACAATTACCATTATTTATTATTTAATAATTTGCCGTACAATTTTCTAATATGTTATAATGTTTTTCTCTCATCAAAAACAACCTGGAATTGTGTTTTAGCTCATTCACACATGTTTAACACAAACCCTGCATATTTAGAGAGAGTTCTTCTCTCAAACTGAAAGCACGCTGTTCGGTCTTGCGATGTCATGTGTTATACAGAAAGAACTCCACTGTGTTTTTAATTTCCACACACCTTCAATAGAATCATCTGGATGATTTCAGTCCTGGAATTGCCAATCTGTACTGAACTAAAGATAAAAGGTAGCTGTTAACTTGAAAATTACCTCTTCATGACATTACAAAGGCATTTTGAGCTTTAGAGATGTAGACAGGTAACCCGGTTGGCACCACCTAGTGCCTCAGCTCAAATTCATTTCTCTCCAGCAACTAGGTCAGGAATCAAAATACAATAGATGGTTCGCAAAAACCCCGGAAGTGCAAGTTCGGGCACCAGCCAATCAGCGAAGAGCCCTATATTCAGTGTTGTCAGCGATTCCAGAGATCAAGGATTTAAAGCCAGAATAAAGAGAATGTTTGGTGAATTTCATCAAGGGGAAAGGCCCGTCTTATTGCCCGTCTTCGTTCGGGATGTGGGAAAAATTTAATACCAGTTAGCCCCATTAGTGATGCATTACATACATCACGACCAAATAGCAGCAAATGGTTAAATGATAAAAAGTACCCGCCTACCATTGAGCCAACGAATTCTAACACTGTGAGGTCAGACGATTTCTACGAAGTGAAACAGAGTGAAACCGGCTGATGAAACGGGCTAGTAGACAGGCTAATAATACAGGATTACTCAAACATGTATGAATGAAACAAAACACAACCTCAGGAATGTTTTTGATGAGGTACCAGCATTAGAGTCAATTTGATACAATATAGGACCTTCAAAGGCATCTAATGTGTCTGAGTGCATTTTCTTGTTCCTATTCCTAGATTAGCACTGTTGCAAGATAAGACCAGTGCCTTGTCTGAGGTATATGGTATTAAATATAGTTTTAGTTTTGTTTTTCAGTCATAAAAAAGAAGCATTTATATTATTTTGGTTTGACTTTCTTAAAATACTTTTGAGCAGTACTTTTTATGCGTCAGGGTTAACAAATGACAAGTGCTTATTCACCTCTATTTTCTATCCGACCTTATTCAAAAAGCATATAATTACTGTCCAAATGCCTGGGTTTTAGCCGGACTCTGCTCTATTAAAGATAATGAAATGCGTATAGTCTGGCCCAGAAAGTTAATGAATTGACAGCGCTCAAAGACGTGGTCATTTAAACATATGAGAAACCACTTACAAAGATACAGCACCTCCTAATGGGGTCAATGTTCGGATACAATTTTAGTTTAAAACAAAACTGGTTTAAATTGACTCTTAACATCCACAGAAAATCATTGAAAATTAGAATCTGCTATTCTTTGCACAGAAACCTTTGGTTATAATGAAATTCTGCAGACTGGAATACAAAAAGAGGAATATATTGTTGTTATCTATAGCAGAGGTAACATCCAATCATATCATGTTTCATTTTTATGGAAGTGCCACAATAAGAAATAGATGATAAAACAAGATGTGTGATGCCTCCTGAATCCCATTCGCTGTCGACTCATAAAATATTGTATTGGTGTCTGTGTCTCTCTTATGACAAGCATTACTCCTCAGCAATAAATACACTGGGAATACAAGATGTTTCTCAATAAAAAAAAAAAAATGTACAGAGATCTAACTACAAGTTGAGGACTGAAATTTTGGTAATTGCGTGGTTCATAAATTATGAAAAGTACAGGACATTCAGCAATTAAGAGTCATAATTAGGATCAACTGGCATAGAAGAAGATTGATTCATTTATCATCAAGTCAATCATAACACTTGATCAGCCATTTAAAAGGTCTCATCAAAACATACCTGGAGTTGTGTTTTGTTTCATACTTACATATTTTGAGTAACCCTTTATTATTAGTCTGTCTTCATCTCCAAAGCTCAAAATGCTCTGTTCCACCTTGTGATGTCATGTGGTGATATAGTTTTCAACTTAACTGCTATTGTACCTTTTACCTAGTTTAAGAGAGATTGACAGTTCCAACGCTGAAATTATCCAAATGGTTGTAGTGAAGGCCTATGGAGTTTAAATACACAGTGGAGCACTTCCTGTATTACCACATGAGATCACAAGGTGGAAGAGAGTGTTCTCAGTTTGAGAGAAGAACACTGCCTAAATTTGCAGTTGTGTGTTAAATGTGTGAATGAAACAAAACACAACTCCAGATATGTTTGTGATGAGGAAACAACATTATAACATAGATTTTAAATTTGTGCAATATGGGCCCTTTAAATACATCAGAACACAGGGATAATTACACTATATCATAGATCTAATCCATGTGAGAGTCAAGGGCTTTCATAATACTAACCTGTGCCCATAGAATTAACACTGATGGCAATGACAGTCAGATGTAACATATAATGAAGTGTATAATTGCACCCTCGCTCTGCATATGATGTTTTACAAGAGTCTGATTAAACGTGTCTCTGATTGATCTGATATGTCCCTCAGCTTGTCCCTCCTCTGTCCGCTGAAGCACTTGTCCTCTAGTGCCCTTCTGTTGTAATGACTCTAATTCCCCCAAGTTAAAGTGAGTGCACCGCTCTCCTGCTGGGACCACCCGCCCAGTGCAGTGGTCACAGCTGCCCTGGGGCGAGAGGGGCCGTAGTGCGCACATACACATACACACAGACTCATACACACACACTTTTCTGCTCCGATGCTTGTAGGATGTGCGTGCAGACAGATTGGTCTCCTCAGGCAAAAGGAACCTGTGGATAAAACACAGTGTCATTGAACCGTGTGGGAGCGTCTGCCTCGTGCAAAATTGGCGCCAGCAGCAGATTTAAACAATAACATATTGCTGTTTGACCTCAAAACCTACTGCGTGTGCGGAGTGAACACCTGCTCTGAGCCTCATCTGCATCTCTGTGTATATATGGATGGGGAATTAACATTGTGAGGACTAAAATCTGTACACACACACATATTATGGGGACCTGCTTCCTTGATGGGGTTGCCATGTCATAGACCTTTTATTATTATTTGATCAACAACATTTATAATTCTAAGGTTCTATCTGCTTTCTGGGTAATTTTGAGGTATTAAGATTTAAAGTTCTGACCACTCACAGAACACAACAGGAACATAGATTTTTGCTCATAAACACAAAAAATACCCCAAGCTCTACAAAATCTTGATAAACTGTGCATAAATATTCAGGAACAAGAATATATACTTTTTTTTTTTTTGGTTTTGTTTTCTGTTACAAAATGGCCAGATAGAACTGTATAATTCTATATGGATTCATTTAAGTTAAGGTATTAAGGACAGGGTCAGTTTGCAGGAAATGACAGTAAGTCAATGTAATGTCCCCAAATGGCATGGAAACCCAGCCTATAGTATGTGCATGTCTGGATGTGGTGATATGAGAGACTGTGGGAGGCTGGGGAGGTGAGGATGGTAGTGATGATGAGCAAACACTATGGGGCAGAATAATCTCTCATTACCCACAATTCCCTGGTGCTGCACTGGCGGTGAGTGTGTCAGGATTGGTCCCACAGGCGGGAGTGGAAGGAGGAGTTGCTCAGTCGATTTATTGGACGGTCCCGGAGCAGTCCCAGACCTGCTCCTGTGGCTCTCAGCATCGCCATGCCAGCCAGACTCCTGCTGAGTCCATATGTCGTCTGAGAGACAGGAGACTGCTGTTACACTACTACACAACTATAGGTGAAGAAAAGACCTCACAACTTTTCAATATCTTATTTTCTAAAGACTGAAGACAATATATTTGCCTGTTTAACAAAACCAAAATTAACCAACTGTGTTTCATAACCTTATCTCATAGATATCTGTTACACAATGGTTGCTGTTTAGTGAAATGATTATCTATATCAGTGTCAATCGAAAGCTCTGGACAGCTGTGTGTTGCAAAATAGTCTTTACGTATTTCCACATTATAGTTTTTAGACAATGATTAAAAGGCTAACTACTTCACATAACATACACAATATGCATTTAATTTCAGAGCTGCTCTTAAACCCGAAGACTGACAAATCATTCAGAAACATTTAATTATGGATTTTCTTTCTTTTCTTTTGGTCTATAATCAGCAATTCCTATGCTCAAAGTGCAAAATAATTTATACATTGCCATTTTTATTTTGGTTTGCTACTATATCTTGCTTAACTCACTAATTGCAAATAAATGAGTAAATGACAATAAGACTACAGACTTAACTGGATAATTTAACATTTTGATGGTTCTGAGCAAAAATCTTTGCACCCAAAAAGAAAACAAAACAATCAGTGATGCCAGAACCAGACAGTGGTGCTGACAATGTTCACCACATTAAAGATATCACTTGTTCACCATAGGGTGTGATTTGGTCATGTTTATTTGAGTAGTATTTTCAGCTAAAATAATGTGCCACAGCTCAAAAAAGGTTGACAGTTGTTCATATTTTATTTAGGATTGGGACATGCGGGCAAAGAAAGTCTTTCTTCTTTTCATTTTCAATCACATTAATTTGGTCTATTGTTCCTTACTCTACATCAACTCTCAGTGATTGCTCATTTGTCATCTGTCCTGTCATATGCCTCATGTCACCTGTTCCTTGTCTTTCTTCTTTGTGCTTTTGTAGACATCCACTCTGCATCTCTCTCCATCTGTGCATCTGAAGTATCCATCTATCAGACTGGAGTGGGCCATATAAGTCCCTCCTCTCCCATCACAGCCTCTTCACTGGAGTGTGTTTGCATATACATATATTTCAGCTATAGTACATGTCAGGGCCGCAGCCATCATCATATCTTACACACTATTAAGAGTCAGATTTATGCTGGATAAAAATGAAATGGAGGAGATATGCCAGGTAATGATGTATAATTTGTACTGGTGATGCTCAATGGAAAACATAATGTAAATTTATATCAATACTGCATAGCTCTATAGTAAAATTATTGAAGAGATTTCCAGAAAAGCATCCGATTTTGAAATACAACTGCCTGCTTGTTTCCTGGAATATTGCACAGTTTGACATTAAACTCATCTATTCAATTACAGATGTTATCAATGCTAAAATACACAGAAAAACTACATCACATCTTTGATTAAACTAAAGAAGGACATTAAACTCATCTATTCAATTACAGATGTTATTAATGCTAAAATACACAGAAAAACTACATCACATCTTTGATTAAACTAAAGAAGGATTGTTTTCAGTTTTTCAGTGCACTAAAGACTTTGATGTAATATTTGCAGCAATAACAAACCAATAACAGACCATATCCTGCAAAAAGAAAAAAGTCAATTCACAATGAAAGCCAAAAAATAAAATGCCACCCCAGTTTTTTCTGCTATCCTCTGTCCACTGGTCTGTGAAGTGTAGAGAGGGAACAGTCCTTACATCGGGGGTTAGTTGGATTAGTACGATTTGGGAGAAGATACCTCTAAGCTGAGTGTGCTTTATAGCCAGGACTCCCACTGATCGGACCCAAACTCATTTCACACATGAACGTTTTGCTCTGTGCCAGTCTGTGCTTAGTGCCTTAACATTACACATCCACACGCCCCAGGACATGAGAGGAGAGCAGCGACATAGGAGGAGGCTTTACTTTTATATTGCACTTTTGGTGATATTGTCTAGTTTTATATTCTGTTTCTTATTGGCATGCTATAACATGAAAATGCTATTTGGCCATTCAATATGTGATGACTAAGGTGATGGTAATTACAGCATGCAGTGCAGACAATATTCTTTCTCTTACCACAGCAAATGTTGCTCCTGGTAGATTAAGTGTGGAGGCTTGGATGTTAATGGGAGATTTCATGCCAAATTATGATGATTATGATGATGATGATGTTTTGATTCTTCAAGATCTTAATTTACTACAATTATGATAAAACATAAACCATGGATATCAGCTTCATGTTAATTGGTCATTTTGAGAACTTTTGACCACTTTTGAGATATAATATTTAGTTTTGATTATTAATTTATTTATCTTACTCTGCATGCATTATTAGCAATTTTTTGGCAACAAAATTGTATGCCAAATTTTGAAATAACAAAAAGGGAAAATGACTAAAATGATGAAAATATATTAACTTGAACTATCTAATCCTCATAGTAGATTTTATGGATATAACTGGAGCCTTAATGCCCCACATTTCCTCTTATGTTACCTTAACATGATAAATGCCTATTAAACCACAGTCTGCTGCCCTTATTAGAATATGCATGCCTCACATATGCACACTAGGCTAACAGCGACAGACCTGGTACCTGGACCCCATGGGTGCTTCAGGGCAGATTTATCACCACGGGGGCCCCAGTGATGATGAGACCGTTTAGTGGAGGTCCCTGAAGTGCTCCACTGATTAGTGCCAAACATCTTCCCTAATAACCTTAACAAGAACTATGCCTCAGGACCGAGCACTTCTCTCCATGGAGACAAAACAGCGCTACAGGCTACCCATCCTCAAAGTCACCTCCTTACGTCTTTCCCCAACTTCTAATGTTGGGTTATTTTGGAGCTAAGATTCTGTCCTGTCTCTCAGTGCACAAATAAATTGAGTTGGTCTCGGTTCAGTAGTGCCACATAAAGTCAGGAGCAAGATGGAACAAGACAATACTAATGTATGAACAATGATAGACAATAAAACACACAGCCCCCTGGGAAGAAGGATGGGGAGGAAATAGTGGAGTAGGGAGTGATATTATAGGAACCGAGGAAGGAATTCATAGACAGCTATTTGTTCCAGGAAGTAATACAAGAAATGGACATCTGCTCTGATATCTGGCATAGTTCTATGTCTATAAAATATAATCGTCAGCAGATGTTATCAGAATAAGACCATATGCATACATGTATTTTTGGCTTGGGTCTTTATATAGTTTTATTTTTTACAATCAAAAAGTGTAGATACTAAGCTACAAGATTCCAAATACTATATTTTATATTTTTGTATTTTAGCATATTTTTTCAATATTGTATAGTCATACAGATGAATGCAGGTATCAGTTTTGATCGGTATAGGCTGAGAATTCAACTCTACTAAGTGCTAAATCTAGAGGGTGTGATTTGCTCAATGAATAGGGTATTATGTAATCTCATTCCTAAATAAATGTTTCCCTGTTGACTACATTTATCTAGTGTCTTTTTCTGCAAATTAAATGTATTTACCCAATTTGATTCATGCATTTATTTTCAAGAAATATCATTTAGCCGTCTATTTTGTCCAAACTCTGTCTTTGTTTCCAATGTACTTTTTGTTACTCCTTTTTGATTTTGCTTGTTGCTTTTAAGTAAACTAAGGACAAAATAATACCACATAATTCTAGAGCTGTAAGAAAAGCATATTAATTTTGTTTTATTTCTGTATGAAGTGAAAATGATAGCTTTAAGACATTTTACATACAATTTTACCATAAAGCTGCTTATTTTTATTTTTGTTGCACTTTTTTTCTCATGATTGTATTATATACCGAGTCGAGTGAACGCGCCGTGAGAGTGCCGCCGTGACGTCAGCCGTGTCAGCTGAGGGAGGAACGGGGCGACTGAAGTAAACCAGGAAACCGAGGCTAAAGCGCCCGATCCCAGAGCTAAACAACAGCTTTTACCACGATCTGACTGCGTATACTTGTATATTTATTCACTAGATTTACATTAAATAGCGCCATGGCTTCCCTTTTCAAGAAGAAGACGGTAGATGGTAAGTTTGTGCTACGTAAAAAGCTAGCCGACTTGTTTTTAGCATTCTGGTTTGTTTCTATGTTTGTAATGCTGCTTTATTTAACTTGTCTAACCTGTTTTAGCTACTCTGCTCTGACTGCCACATTTGTTGGTTTAAAACTAGATTAAAACTTGCTTTAGACTGAAGCTAAGTCTAACTCGTCTAAATTAATTTCGGTCTGTCTTAACAGCAAAGTTAAAAACAGGCTACTTGTTTTTTAATGATCAAACTCTGGCTTCGAAATCTGTCCTAGGAAAAGATGAGTAATGAGGGACAGGTAATAGGGTTGTAATATTAAATGTCAGTGTCAAAGTTGTCAAAATTAATTACACAAATTTACACGCTGGTTCAATTTGATTTGAAATGAAAACTAAATTATATCCACTATATTAAGTTCAAATATAGGCTAATAGACATTTTGCCCATATTTGTCACATACTCGGATTGACTTCCATTTTTGGTTTGAGGACTCATATTTTGTCTTGTTGTCAGCCTAACTAAGTATGTTAATTTAAGTCATTCCAGGACTGTCAAAATGCTAAAAGACCAGCCCAAATCTTTTTTACTCTGTCTCCAGGCTAAGTCGTCACCATTACAAGGTCAAATAGAGCACTTAATAAATGGCTCAAGTCTTGATTAAGTCCTGAAGCAGTCTTGGCTGTGAAGTAGAGAAAAATAAAAAAAGATGGCCGACCTCTTGTAGATTGTATTGTCATTTTAATAAATCTTTCCTTTTGCTTGTTTGAGCTCAGTCTTTCCACAGCACCTGCCTGCTCCTCCCATCATTGTCATTCCAGTTTCACTCACTCCCATACAAACTTACTGTGCTCAGACGCTGCTGCCTCTCCTCTCCCAGCGATGGCATCCTTCGATATCTCCCCATCACATCCTCTTTTCTCTCATTTATATATTTTGTCTATTTGAGTCGTAAGGTCCATAGTGAATCAGCAGGTTGACTTGGTTAGTCGGCGAAAAAAGAAGTCAAGGGGGGTTTGAGATCACACTTATTTGTAGGACGATATCCCTCCCACTTTGAAACGCTGGCGTCACGTCACCTTATACGTGTACTATCGTCATACTTGGATATTTTTACACTTTTGGTTGAGTTCATAAAATAACATCTTTTTAGCATGGTTCCACCTGTGTTGAGTTTTAGCAGCTGCTCCCACATTTTTGGGTGTTCTTGTCCTCAGTCTTCTTCAGGATATAAATTATTTGTTTTCTTCTTTCTTTTTTTTTCAACAATATTACAGTTGTAATATTTTCTTTCTTTTTATAATTTTCGTTTTTTTTTTTTTATATTTTCACTTTTTAATTATATTTTTTATTTAACTATATTTACATTCATTTTCTTTTCTTTTTTTTGATATACCTAATAACACTTTTTTATTTAAACAACTTTTTGAAACAGTTCTTATTTTTCTTATTTTTGTATGGAGTTTAATAAGAATGTATGTTTGCATCTTGCTGCTGCTAAACTTACCAATTGCTGTGGCATTTCAAACTCATGTGACTTCTCCCTGAATAGATACAGAAGTGATGTGTGTTAGACTTGGTTCATTCGTTCATTTCCAGCTGCTTGGAGCTTAAATGAATCGGATCTCTGTGGGCACCTGCTCCAGCTGCCCTCAATATATGCTCATTTTGTTTATATCCTAGACCCTCACCAATGAACCATCAATTAACACCGATTTTGTAGAAACACTGATATGTGTGCATTGCTTTTCAGTTGATTTGGTGAACCCTCAAATTACATTGACTGTTGTATTAAATTTTTACAAGTAAGAAAAAAATTATTGTTAAAGTTAGGACATATTTAGACAATCTGCCTATTTACTAATGCTTCAATCAAAACTTCAGTTTCTTGCGTGTATCTTTTAAGCTTAAAATTCACATGAAATTTTGTGTAAATGAAGCCACTTGAGGCCAAAAAATTACTTTGATTCAGTCATTTCTAATTGTCAGTTATATGCTTTGGACTTTATAATATCTACAGCCAATCATCTGTATACATTCTCAGTAAAAGGCTGGATTTGGTTTTGAGCAGAGTTCAAATTTTGTAGGGATAAATTTTTATTATTTTTGTGTTAAATGGCGGTGATTGTAAGTCTGTGTGTAAGTGATGACTTTTTGCCACATTTTTAGCTTTATTTTAAATTGAGATTTGCTTAAAAAGTATTGTATTCAACAATTTCATTAATATATGTGTCTCAATCAAGCAGTCAGTCTATAATCACAACTAATGTATTCTAAAATAGCTGCTTTTAAATGATTTCTGATAAGAAGTATAATTGAAATTCTTTCCTTTGTCCTCTTCAGATGTTATAAAGGAGCAGTCGAAGGAGCTGCGCGGCACTCAGCGACAGATCACCAGAGACAGAACAGCCCTGGAGAGGCAGGAGAAACAACTGGTGGGAAACGCACACACGCACACAAGCACATACATATGCTACAAGAAGAGGGCTGAGGATTTCTTGGCAATTAAAGTGACAGTCTGAATGGTCACATTTGGCAAGTCGCAAAATCTGCAGTTGATTTGATAATATTGTCCTCATTAAAGCTGTGTAATTTTATGAGTTTTAATTATGATTACAATTATTACTCTAATCAGTTTCAAGTTTCTGTCCTAAATGAATATGAATGGCCAGTGTTCTGCACCTCAAAACCTGGACCAAGCAAAGGAATGACTCACAAAACATGATAAAAAGTCTATATTTGCTCAATTTCACTTCAGAAAACAAAAGTGTGTATCTATGGTATTTTTGTATGTATAAAACCTTTGAACTTTGTATTTTAGACTACTACAAAGTTGTACTGAGATGCATTTGATTATTTTATTTGTTTATCTCTGTTTCAGCATACTAATAGGGTTATGTAGACCTCAGCAAATGTTATGAAATTTATGTGATTCGTGTATCAGTTTTCTCTGAGTTGCTCCAAACATGTTTGCAATGTGCTCTCTATGAACTGAATTCTAATTTTGAAACTTAAATCCCAAATGTAATCTCTAGCTGTACTTGTTAGAAAAATCATGTCTAGATTTTTATCCATTTATTTTTCTGCCCTTACACACATACTTTTCCCTGATTTCTTACATATTGCATCAAGGCTGTATCAAACGCCCTCTACTACTTCCTGCTTCCTGCTGGCTGGCTGAATGGGACTAAATGTGTAGAGATGATGGAGCTGGCTGGGTGGTTTAGCCTGGGGCCAAGATCTTCTCCCTTTAGTGCCCTTACATAGACACAAATAGAGATGAAAGAACCGCAGTGTCCTCTAGCCTCTGTTGTAGTAGGTAAATACAATACAGGCCATAATTACCTCCCCGGGGAAGAAGATTTTATTCCTCATTAATGCTTTCTGCTAATTAGTAGAGTTTTTTTCTCCCCTCTCCGAGCATTGTTGCACATTTTGAATAAAAAACTCCTTTCGCTGTGAATTGAAAATGACCTAATTTTGCAGTTTAGCACAATCGCAGCTGTCGAGGCATGCTTCACTTTGGTGTGTAAGAATAATCAAGGACTCGCTCACAAACTGCAGTGAAATGAGGGACGAGGCACTCAAGTTTAATTGGTAATTTTACAGATCATTATTAACCCAGGAAGCATTGTCACACATCAGGATGTTATGGAGAGAACTGAAGACATAACTCTCTCCAGCATTTTGATAATATTCATAAAATGACAGTTTTCAAATGAGTCAACTTTTGGAATTGCAGAACATCTTTTAATAATTTATATTTCTGCTGTTGAGAAGAGCAATAATGGAAAGACACAGATCAATTCAGTCTATCCATCTGCTCTCAAATTATGTCATGTCAAATTTAGGGCTGCACCTATACCAATATTGGCACCAAATATCCCTGCCTATCCATGAAATTTGGCTGGATTGGGTATCAACTCCAAAACTTCTGTTTTCTGATATCACAATTTAGCAAATATAGACAGAACTATTATAGTCATTTGACTGATGTCACCTCTTTGTAGCTAACAACACAATCCTTTAGTTTAGTAAACATCAGAAAACCCACATGTGCCTATGGGAATCTGCGCCAGAGAGGAAATATCCAGAGACAGAACTGCAGGTCACATTAGAGTCGGCCCTCACAGCGCCAACTCCACCACCCCATCACCAGTTTTAGTTTATGTCTATGCACTGAAAGCATCTGCAGAAAATAACATCAAATATTTATGCCTCAAGTACAAGATCTATAAGTGCACACTACTTTACTTTGTATTTTTTCTCCAAATAAACAATTTCTCAAATATTAACAACAGCGTTGACAGAGGAGCGCAGGCAATATTAATGTTTATGTGGGAGTCGGAGAACAATGTTTGCAATAAAGAAGTGACGAAGAGGAGGAAGAGAGCAAAGGGACTGTTGCTGATGTGGAGTAATGTCTTATTTACAGCTCTGTCAGGAAGAGAGGAAGAGGCAGAGGGAAGAGGCAGGGTTGGATCTGGCAAAAACATAAAGAGAGCCATTTGGAACAAGATCGAATGTAGAAAAAATATGTGTGAATTAAAATGTCAGAGAAACTAGACAAACTCAAAAAGCAAAAATGCATGTCTTAAAAAGTAGACAATCTAAAATCTAACCAACGAAAATAACACGAATTAATTTTTATTCATTCAGTTACAAACTTTTATTATTAAACAAATAATAGTTTTATATATCTAAATAAATCAAACTACAATATAATTTTCAGGTGAATATTGTGACATTAACAAGTAGATTTTAGTTTGGGGTGATCCTTGCCATGGCCATGGTGTGTTCATACTTTCATTGTGTCTTTGAGCAAGGATCTTCATTATTTGGCACTCCTAAATCTATTGAAATGTACAAAATAATTCAATTGCATGGATAATGTTTCCTGTGATGCCTCTATTTACATCTTACACACAGCTGCTTTTGTTAACCAAATTGCTCCTTCACCTGACTCCCTGTACTCTTGTTTTCTTTTGTTCAGGAGGCGGAGATTAAGAAAATGGCGAAGAGCGGTAATCGGGAGGCTTGTAAGATCCTGGCCAAGCAGCTGGTCCAGTTGAGGAAACAGAAAAATCGCACATACGCTGTCAGCTCCAAAGTCACATCCATGTCCACGCAAACCAAACTCATGAACTCTCAGATGAAGATGGCCGGAGCAATGTCCTCCACAGCCAAGGTGAGAATGTGCCACAAGTCTGTTACATTTTAAAGCTGCACCATGTAATTTTTCTGGTGGAGAGTCCACCACTTGCTAGTCTCCATACAGATGAGATTCTTTTGCCTGTAATCTTTTACAGTATGGCATTAAATGTATCTATCTTTAAGCTTAAATAATATATTGAAAAGCAAAAAAGTAAAATGAACAGAAGTACAGAAATATATTGTGTACTCTTGAGGATTACATTGAGTGTTTGTTTTCTTTTTCTTTTCTTCTTTTTGTTTATTAACTTATTTTGGAATGGTTCATACCTTTTTAATCCCTGTATTCAAACATTTTCAATATTATCCTGTTTACAAAATATCACCCTCCTCTAATTATAATTAGTTTATGCTAAACAAGCAGCCTTTCAACATGTCAACGTACAACCAAAAAGTTCTTCTGACCCTACACCAGGAAAGCAAACATTTACAACATAGTGAATTATTTACATCATTATTATTATTACAACACGTCAATTATTATGGATTATATTAAGCAACAAATATTTCAAATAGCCTTTGACATAGACTTTGACCACACACAATTTTTCCTTTACCTCAATGATCAACAATGACATCATCACTAACTATCCACTCTCCTGGAAACTCGTGACACACATGATTCATTCCCTTGTTGCTATATAGCTCCCTTTCTCAAGAGCTTATCAGTACTTCCCTGTGTTAAGTGCCATGTTACTTGTTTATTATGATTAAGGCTGCACAATATGAGAAACGGATGTAATATTTGATATGAAATTTGTTTTGTATTGCGATGATGATATTATTATATTATTTGATTATATTATTATATTATTTGATTATATTATTATATTATTTGATATTTTAACATATTTTTGGCACAGTACGTTAAGTTAAATAATAATAATAATGTTGATGCATTTTCTATTTCTATTTGTGGTCAGTGCTTAGCTCTTGGCAGATATTTTAATGAAGTATGAAAGATATTAAAGGTGCCTAAAGCAGTGTACAGTGAAGAGTCAGCACACACAGAGACAGGTCAAATATAATTAGTCTTCAAACTAATGGAGTGGAGAGATGCCTATAATAAGACAATGTGCTAATTGTCATCTCAGACTGACTGTTATTGTAGCAAAATGTTGTAATGACTTCCTCTTTTGTTTAGTGATACATTGTCATCTTACACTTCTTTAATTTTATTTTTTTTCAATCAAGATTCCTAGCCATTTGAGGTATAAGAACAAACTAAAATGTTTAAATTGTTATTTTTACTTTTTATTAGTTTTGCTTTCCATCACTATTGTTAACCTTCCAGGATATAAAACTATTAGCTACAAGGACATGCTTATGGAGAAGTTGATAAAAAATTCTCTGGGGCAAGGTCATTTGAAAAATACAATCTTAAATTATATTCCTCTTATTCTATAGTCTAAGCTGAATGAAGTAAACTTGATAATAAATTTGAATAGATCAAGGACCCCTCCTGAAGATGAAAAATACTGTAAAAACAGAGTATATTGTCTGTAATATGCACCATAAACCTAGGGCATTTTTCTACTGACCCAGGAGAGGAAGGCGATCCATTGTTTGTGAGAAAGCCTGTGTTATGGTAATGTACTAGTGGAAGCAGCCCAACTGATTTTAGCCAAGAAAATTATTTTTTAAAGGTAGTGAACATGGGATGTGCTCTTCCTTACTTTAAAGAGGAACTACAATGGTAACTTACAACATTCTCAGTTTGCCCCATGTGAAAACTCCAGAATTCAGTCTGAGCACTCACTATTGGAGACTGCACTCACTACACCTAAATGGCTTTATTTCCAACCAGTTTAGTCACAGGATCTGGAAACCCAAAGTGGCTAGCGCGTTCTGCCTAATTTATGGATGAAAGGCTTGTGGGGGAAAAAATTGAACCAAAGGAACCATTATTTAACATATTCTCTTAACAAATCAGCTTACAGCAGATATCAGAATATTTTTATTTAAACATGTTTACTTCATATGTGGGAACACAGATTATGTTCATGAAATATTTTAGACACATTTGGCACATTTATAAATTTTTTAATTCTTCTACAGACGATGCAGGCGGTGAACAAAAAGATGGATCCACAGAAGACCCTGAAGACCATGCAGGACTTCCAGAAGGAGAACATGAAGATGGGCATGACTGAGGATATGAGTAAGAAAAAATAACCACTCACTTCAATGTACAGTACACCTACACACACCTGTAAAGGCACAGGTATTTTAAGAACTGGACAAACCAGACTGTCTAGATTTTAGCTCCATGATGTGTGGACGAATGACGTACCGGTGTACCCATAAGGCAACACTCTGTGTAGAGGGCAAAGGATAGTACTTAGAAAAGTGTATGTGAGAATGTGTAGATGTATAAAAGACTGTGATGAGAAAGACATTGTATAATTGTGTCAGTATTGGACAATAGTGAAAAAAATAAAACACATTTTCTTATTTGTTATCTTGTCCTTGTCAATGGATTGTCACAAAACTAATATTTCAAATTTAGTCTTGATACTACAGAAAAGGCATGATACAAATGTTTATACCGCTGTGAAAATCTTTTTTTAAATTTTCATCTCAAAATAATGGTACTAACTTTATTGTTACCATGTGCTCCTATCTTCTGATATAGATCAAGTTATTCAGGAAATGGCAAATTTTATTCATAGATTTTTTTTAATATACTTGTTGAAATAAGTATCAAATTTTAAATAGTATCCAGGTATTGATACATTTGAAAATCCTACTTTGTACTAACCAGTTGTGTTTGTGTTCAGTCAATGACACTTTGGACGATCTCTTTGATGAGTCTGGAGATGAGGACGAGAGCCAGGGCATCGTGGACCAGGTCCTGGATGAGATTGGCATTGAGATATCAGGAAAGGTATGAAAACATGGATTCATAACTGCTTAACTTTGTCTCACATTTACTCAAGTAACATAGTAATAATACATTTCAGTCTCATACTTTAATATATTAAATTAGATTTTGATTTTCAGTATGCAGACGTCTAATAAATAATACAAAGAAAACAATAATTATATAGGTTAATATAGCTTCTTTTTTAACAAACAAAATGAATCCCTATTAGTCTGGGAAATAGTCACTACTTAAACCATTAAACCACAGTGGGTAATCCTAAATGCCTCTCACTGACTGGGGTTTAATGTGCAGCAGCTGCCACACGATGGGGCTATAGCCTTCAGCTCTGGAGGCGCCATCATCAGCCACGTGCCTGTCCATCTGCTGCGTGTCTGGCTCCCCCTGGGGGCTTGCATGAGTTATTACTTCACTATACACAGTTCTGTGCAACAAATTGTCCCATAAACAAGTCCACAGCTGGAGAGAGCAAACACACAGAGCAGTTTCAGATATTTAGAATAGAGTTTACTATTCTACTATAGGCACAAAGGCAATAAAACCTTACTTTGCCCTACAGCTCAAAGAAAATACTGCTTACTCTCTCTGGATCCTCCATATGTGCATCACTGTTAACTACAGGGATTAATTTAAACTGTAAATGTGTACATTTCACTTTGTTATTTTTCTCTCATTTCACAATTTTATGTAAAATACTGGCCTACTCCAGTCATCTGAGGAAAACAAATCATAGCCTATGTTTTACACTTTTTCTTGTAAGATAAAAAAGTTTAGAAAATAAATACATGTGCCTTTGATATTCAGGTGATATTTGATTTGTCTTATTAAAAATGTTACTTTTCAAAGGAATTAATGGTGCTTAAAGTTGTAGGATTTGAGAAAAAAAATGTGACATAAAAAATACAAAAAAAACCCCAAACATTTTACAGCTATCTCCAGACTTGTGAGCAAAAATAAGACTTAATAATTCAGTTCACCATTACTTTCTGCTACTTAAAAATTCATAATCTTGAAAACAAATGAGCCCTATCTGAACTACTCAATTTATGCCTTTGTCTTGGTGCCAATCAAAACCCCAGGGGGGCTCCTCTGTGACTCTGAGTAATATTTTGAACCTATTTTCTGTTTTGATATGAAATAAAACTGTATAACACCAATTTTAGGGTCACATGTTGAACTATTTCTGATATTTGGTTCTTGTTGTTTTTGATGGCAGATGGCACGGACCCCAGCTGCTGGAAAAAGCATCCCGAGCGCCGCGTCTTCCTCCCAAAACACGATTTCAGACGAAGAGATCGAGAGGCACCTCCGAGCTCTGGGAGTCGACTAATGACAACCATTTACTGTCTTCATTACACAGACATTAAGACACATTCAAAAAGACTGTGTGAGATGCTCCTGATTTGGTACAGGTTTAACGACAGCTGCAACACAATTACATTTTACACTAAGGCATGCAGATTTTGATCATATTACACACACTCAACTGCTTTACATGTTATGGGCTAACTTATTCATACAAAAACATATTTTATTTGTAATGGAAGTCAAACGGTTTATTCAGGGGTAAATGCTTCTTCCATTAATTTAAATAAATGGGCTACAATCTAGTGATACTAATAATTTCTTTCTTTTAGTTGAAATCTATTTCTCAAAATTGCGTTAAAGGTGCACTATGTAACTTTTCAGCTGTCCGGTTATGACTTTGCATGGAATGTTCTGCTGTATGGTATCATGCTTTTATTCAATTACATGAAAAATATGCTTTCTTACTATGATTGGGAATGCCTATTTAGAAGATCTGAACTGTAACTTGGTGCATGGGTGTCACATTTTCACCAAGGAGATATACATATATAGATTAATGCCATACAGTCTTGCATACATTGTAGGCAAAGCAGTAACCTCTCAACACAAGCAGGTGGCAGAACCTTCACCAGAAAGTTACACTGTGCATCTTTTCAAACCATTCATGATTGCCACACTATAATGGATATAATTAATCTGCCCAAGCATACAGGCATTTATAATATTAAATCGCCTCATTGGATAATTACACTTGATACACTTATTCCTGCATGAGATTTGACGATGTGGAAACTGTAAGAGCCTGAAGGTGGACACAAGTTTGACCTGAAGAATCCTAAACCACCTACACTGTTTACCATCTATCTCTCTTTAAAGGGCTACTGTGTCTGTATATGAGACTATGTTATATACTAGTATATTCTGCGTTTGCAAAACTGAAGATCCCCTTTTATTCTGTTTACTCAGAGTTGGAGATTTCTGTATGGTAAACAAAACGCCTAAGGTTTATAGCAGATGAGAGCATCACCATATGTTCCTGCTTTGAGGCAAACTGTTCTGAGAAGTTTGCATTGTCTTGGGTTAAAGTCTAAGAAAAATGAACAAATACACTAAAAGAAATGTACCAAGAAGTGTGTGCATCATTGAACTTTCCTTCAGACAAAGAAATGGGTAGGGCATAGGATTGTTTTATTAAGGGTGCGATCTCACTTATTTTGTTTTGGTTCTAGTCCTGGTCTAGAACTGGTCTAGTCCTGGTCTAGAACTGGTCTAGAACTGGTCTAGAACTGGTCTAGAACTGGTCTTGTCCCAATCTCAATGGGTGTGTGTGCAAGTGTGAAGGCACCCTAAAACTAAGTAGAGCTTGTTCTGATTTTGTATCTCTGAAGTTAAACCCTGTACAGGTTGTATGTAAATGACAAAAATTAGGAATATTGCAATACCGTCATATCTCAGTCTTTGTTACTACTGAATAATCATCTTTTTTTCCTTTTGGGTTGACGTGTGTCTTTGTGGTTGTTTTATTATACATGGGATTTACACAGGGATTGTGGGATGTCCAGCAGTCCCTCCTCTATTTCAGCTGCTGTGCAGTTACCGGCAATTGTTGTTTTTAATCTGCCTCACTCAGTTCACAAACACACAGTCAGTGGAGTGCTTTTGCTAAATGGGCACTGTGATCTGAAATATCGTTGTCCTAAAACTGAATTTGTTTAAGATAATTGAATCAGCCTTTTCATTGACTTAAATCTTTTTTAATTATTTCTTTTTTTTATGTTGGTATCTATCACCAAAATAGACAAATTAGGTATAACGTTATGACCATCTGCTAAATATGAACAAAATGTCCTCTTAAGTAATTTCTCGATTAATGTAATATAATTATGATTCTTTGGCCTCTTTTAAAGCTCTAAAATATTTGCGTAGCCACCACAATTTAGAGTGTGTCAACTAACCTCATTCTATTAGTGCACCACAAATTTGTGTCATTTGTCAGTGGTCATAATGTTATCTCTCAAGAGTACCTTTGCTTTAGCATGTACTAGGTCATATGTACATTACCCATAATCCTTATACTTCAGATTGACTACTTACACCTTCAAACATTGATTGAATGGAAACAGGCTTTTCATTGCCCAAGCTTTGTCATTGAGAAACTCTGTAAAGGGGGGTGGCTTTTATAAGAAATAAAGTTAATTCAGGTACTTTTCTTGGCAAGTTGTGTTCTGTGTTACTCTTGTATTATTACGCACTATTCATTGTGAAGTTGTATCTGAGGGACACACATTACTAGTGGATACTTAAAGCCTTTTCAAACTCACCTTGATGTAGATACAGAAATGGTAGTTGTTTAATAAATACATTTCTTCTTTATTTTTTAAGACACTTGTAGAAAATAGACAGTTGCATTACCGTCTTTGGATATGCTCCAGCTATCACTCTGGCACCCATATAATGTTATTTATGACATGCTAATCTGTGTGTCAGTTAGTGACGTTTGACGCGAAAATAAAACCAGGAAAATGAATAAAAATACATGCATCTTCACTGAGACATTTCATATCAATCTTTGGTTTATGACACGTAAGACAAGAGCAACATAAGCATCTAAAAAAATGACAAATTGACAACAAACAGGCTGTACCCCTCCCCATGTCATCAGTCAGTCTGACAGTACACTGAAAAGTAGATCAACACTGACCTTACACTAAATAAATAGGTTGGCACAGAATATATTAATGGATTAATCATTAACATAATTCAAAATGAAAAACAACAACAACAAAAACATCCATAACATTATTTACAGACACAATTATGAACAAACTTGCATTATCTTGTTTTTGAAGTGCAATTGTCTTAAGGCAGTGATGAAAAAACTTAAAGAAAGTCCTATTATTATTTCACCAATACATTAGTGTAGTGGTGCTGTGTGTTATGATTTGTTTGATAATAATTAAGGCTATTTTTTTTTTTATATATACAATATGGAACTTAAGACTAAAAACACTGAAAGTTTAGTTTCATAAGATGGTGAATTATATTTTCCAAGAACAGTAAGCCATTATAATTTAATTTATTCACATATGTCAAAGCTTTCAATTCTTAGCCATATGCATACTGAATCTTAATTAATTTGGAGTTACACTTTTGCAAACAACTATATATAAGTTATATTTTAATATATTTATTGGTCTCTTACCTTATGCTATATATGTGAAATAAACAGAACAGTTGGCCAGATATTTGTCTCAGTGGAAATGAAATGAAAATTGCTCTACTTGGAATGTTCCACAGTATGACATTAAACTTATCTACTTCTATGGAGCAAGTAGGTGACACCATCAGGCCAAGTTACAGGATCTGTAAAGAGGCAACTCCCAAGGTATTTTTAGCTACAAAAAACTATATTTTAATAAATGCAAGTTTAATGTCATACTATGCAATATTCCTGCAAATCAATAATATCTTCAAGAAGACAAGAACAATGTGAAAGTACACCTTTAAAAACAGTTATGCATTAGTTTTATGAAGTGATATTGATGTCTGTAATGTCTCTCTGTCTGTCTCTATGTGATTGGCCGCTGGGTCTTGCTCATCTGAGTGATGCAGTTGGGGCTGATCTTCAGACTCAGGTTTAAACTGGTTTTGACCCGTTTCTCCCTCTGCCGCCTGTTACAGAACCAGACCCGGACCACCTCCTTCTCCAGGTGCAGTCCTTTGGCGATCCGAGCGATTTCCTGAGACGAAGGTTTGGTCTTCTCCACAAAGCTGCGCTCTAAAGCCTCTTTAGCTCCTAGGCTGCAGAGATGAGATAAAAAGATATTATCAAGCAAACAATGACGTACAATGTTACGCATTTACAGAGCAAGGCAGATACTTGGAGTAATGCAATATCCTGCTAGAATTTCAAGAATATGTTTTGGCTGATATACTGTATTTATAACCAGATGCCAGCAGTAGTAGTTAAAGTAACAGTGTCAGTGGGTTTCACAATGATGAAAACTTCATTTCAGCTAAAACTGCACTGGTAATTTTTGCAATGTTAAGTGGCACTAATATTGTATTATAGTAGCAGTGGCAAAGTTTTTTGTATTTTTGGATGTACAGATATAATACACTTGGTAGCAGAAGTCACAGCAGTTAGTACTAGCAGAAATAGTGCCAGCAGTTGAAGTAAACCGTATTTTGGAGTAAGCACATATCCTTGTGTACAAACCTAAAACACAGTAATTACATGTATACCTGATAGTTGTTCTTCGCTTCCTCTTCCTCTCATTCATTCCCACTTTGTCACTGTACAAGGCTGCAAAGGAAAGTTACCACAATATTTAACATAGAAGTTTGGCAAGAATAAAAGGACAGCTGTCTATACAACAAAAACATGTGTGTCCAAAACAATACCTTAATCTGAGCAGGGATTATCTATAAAATGCCTTCTAAAATGGGATTACATATTGGGATTATATGATGCTGTGTGTATTTTTATCTCACCACCAGCTAGTTCGGCCTCATCCAGCCACTTCTCCAGGATGCTCTTGAGTTTGCAAGCGTTTTTGAAGCTCAGTTGGAGGTTTTCGAAGCGGCAGATTGTGGTTTGACTGAACTCAGAGCCGTGCACCGCTGCCAGAGCCTCTCCCACATTCGTCTGAGTGTAGCCTGGAAGTAAGGTTCATTCAAGTATATAACAGATGCTACAAAAGGTAAAGGCGTTTTTGGTTTTGTAATGAACTATAATAATGTAAAAGAACCAGAAACTCTCAAGACATCTCTTAAAGGTAATGCAAATATAAATAGGCAATCAGAAGCCACACAGAAAATCCCTCGAGCATTAGGGCAGGTTTAAGTGCTCACATTAACACGTATACAGTGTAATTCATATAGACATTATTAGATATTTTAGTTGGTTATTTCAATTTAATAAAACACAACACTACAGAATTATATCGTTAAAGTTGCTCTTCATGCAGCAAATTCTAAACTTTGCCGATTTAACAGCAGATCAATATTTATACAGTCTTGACATTTGAAATGCTGGGGGCAATTTATTTTGTAAAATAACAGTAACACAAGGTTAGCTATGTCTCTGTCCTCTTAATGCCAGTTTAGAAGCACTCCATGGGGATGTTATTGCTTTGCGTGGAATGTTCCACAGTAAATTATCTTGCATTTATTTCGAAGTGTACTTACTGCTCAAGAATACCTTTAATAACATGCATTCTCTTCACAGATCTGTCACCTGTAACTTGACTTGGTGATATCACCTGCTTTAAGACCATACTGTGGAACATTCCAAGCCAAATAATAACATTTCTAGGGAACCAAACACTGCCCAACATGTTAGGGTTAGAGAATTGTTAAAAAAAAAGAAGAAAAGTCCTGTAGCAAGAGGATACCCTCTTGATGGAAATGAGCATCCATGAACACATTTGACACAGTTTACTACAAGCACTAACCCAGCTTGATTCTCCTGATCTTAAAGTCGTTGGCAAACATCTCCAACTCGCGGATCTGCGGGGAGTCCATGGTGGGAGCTTCGTCATGCTCGCGGATGCTCTTTCTGGGGACGTCCGCTTTCAACCCCTCCCCTCCTCCGACAGCGGAGAGCCCCCCAGGGGTCTCATCAGAGGAGAGCAGCGCCTGTGGTAGAGTGGAGAAACCATGGCTCAGCGCGCACGATCCACTGCTTAGGCCATGGTCTGGAAACTTGTACAAGCAGGAAGTGAGGGATCCTAAGGAGAGAGAGAGAGAAAGAGAGAAGAGGAAATGTGAGGGAGACAAAACACTGTCAGTGGGAATGAATAGACTCTACTACTTCATTCAGGGTCTATTATGATAGTTGAGTCACTGAGCAAGACACTACTGTTATCACTCCATTAACTGTGACTGAAAGGGCATCTGACATACAACTGTCTTATAATTGTGCAACTCTTACAAAACCTTTTTCTAGATAATCTGGATCACTTGGTACAACATTTGGTCACTCATTCAAACTACTAGATGGCATTTTGTTGGCCAGTCACCTCACATGCCCCGGGGCAGACTGACAGAAATATGGCTGTATAAAAAAATAATACTGTGCCATATGCATCTCCGATACATGATTAGTGGTTCATTCAAAAATATTACTAGTAGATAGAGACATGCACATCAATCACATGCAATAAAAGTTGCGACTGCTTGTTGGGTCCAAAGATGAAAACTGTGTACAAGAAAAAACACATCCGCACTGCAGTTCTTTGGAGCTCCCAATTTTTAAAAAATATTATCATTCTTGTCATTCGGTCTTTCACAATAACCACTTTAACTAGCATAGTTTATAATAACAAAAATGCATTTGTAGAAAAATGTTGAATTCTTGACCCCAAAACCTTTCATTAAACCTATATAATACAAACTGCCTTTTATTTCAAACACCTGTTGTGTGAAGTTCACAGTGGAGCACAGTACTTGTTACATTTACAAAAAGGCATGGCAGTATTTTCCATTTGAAAGATGTAATCCCAGGCAAGGCAGAAACCTCACAAACCAAGGGCGTGCTTACAAAACTGACAAAGTTATAATAGCCTACTTTCAGCACTGTACAAAATATCCTCTTTACTTTGAAAAATAGCCATTCAGACTTCTCCTTGTATAACCCTCTTATCTGTAGATACTGTTTACTTTCAGTGTTTCTTCACTTTACACATCTCAGCTGACCTCTCCTCATCATGGTCACTGCACCTGAGTTTGAGTTGAGATGTCCACACTGTTCACCTTCTGAATCTTGTATAGAGTCTTATATTCTTCTTATATTCCGCAATTTTTTTTCTGCTAATTGCTCTACTTTATTCATGTACATCACTTAATAATCAGATTAGTCCCACAGTGGCATATGGCTTTAACTAATTGTATTGTATTGTATTTTGCCATTTGATTCTTAACATAGTATCTCAGTTCAACACAGCTGCAGCTACAGATAAAGCCCCACACATAATGAATTTGTCTATACAGCGTAATCAGATTTATATTCATTATAGTGGATCAGTCAGCAGACCAACGCCTGTAAAACAAGCCAAACACAGGCATAGCTTTAGCCTTGATCATTTTCTTTAATGGTATAAACATGACCTACGTTCATTCATTTTATGCATATAATCTCAAGAATTAGTTACAACTCTTTGGATGTCAACTAATGCATACAATTTTTTACCACTTGCCTGTCTCCAAGGATATGTTATTGCTTTGTATGTAGAATGTTCCATAGTATAGTATCTTACTCATTCCGCCAGTGGAGAAGCAAACCTGTTACAGTATAGAATGCAAGTTATTATGGTATTTTTGAGCAATAATAGACTAATAGAATAATAGAATAGATTTAATAAATATATTTACTGCCATACTGTGGAACTTTCCAGATAAATGACATCATAGGGTCAAGGGAAAAGTTACACATTGCTTCACTTATGAGTTAATCTATTGTGTTTCTCCACATTCTTTCACATTCTTTCACATGTGTTTTGAACACACGGAAATATGCAGTTTACCTTGAAAATGTTGTCCATCATCTAACATCTTACTTGATAAAGGGGAAGTTTGTACAGACCGATAGTTGTCATGTTGCACATAAACGGGATTTAATATCCAACCTAAAACGTTCTGTGACTTTCTGTTCTATGTAGACTAGAAATCTGTTGTTCTACTCATCCAGTGCCAGTAGAAGTCCAATACAGTTTTGTAAATGCAACATCTCCCCCTTGTGTCTGCCCCAGTGTAACACACGCTCTATAAAACCAGGGGCTGTACATTTTGAATACCTTTGAGAGTTTGAGTTTTTCAAACACAAAAAGCATTTAATTTACTTTAAACTAGCCTAGGTTATAATGTTTTGCGGTGACATCTTAACCCATACAGATGTGGCCAGTATAATAGGCCTTACCCATGCTGTTTAATAATTATCACCATAATAGCATAATTATTTACACAGTTAAATTCATATAACATTAAAATGATATTGGCGTAATTTACAAAACAAAAGCTGGAGCACCAAAAAAATTCTAATTCCAGATTCCAATCCTGTCAAGTTGAACATGTTTAATTATTTAAATCCTTTCATTTTTGTCTTTATTTATTATCGCAAATTCTTCATCCCAGAGTGAAGGAAATGAATCCTGCTTTAGCCTTTCCCTATAGACTGTACGTGTAAGATACAGCAGAGCACACAGCCTTTGTTTGTTTGTTTATGGAGGGGGCAGATATGCACAGCCCATTTCCAAACAAACGTGGGCTAAGACTGGGTTTGTGAACACAACTCGGAGCTCAGAGGAGAGGAGAGAAGACCATTTAGCCTGTATGTATGGGTACAGGCTAAATATGCAGAAAAATGTATTCTATTGGAGTAAATAAATATATAAATATGTGGAAATATTGCTCAATGTGTAAGCTCTGCACGTACACAGCTGTTATTGTTTTTTGTGCAAATTTTTTTTTGGCTTTATTATTATTTCTTTACTAGACCAAGTTAGAGATCAGATCTGTGGAGAAGCAAGCCCACAAATTGGGTATTTTTTTTGGGCAGCGAAAATATAATGTGTACATAATTGTGGAACATTCTAGGTAAAACTATAACATCTCCATGGAGACAAACAGTTGATGGACCCACTACCAAGTTACATTGTACAGCTTGAAATGTTATTATGTGTTAGTTTATTCATTCTGTTCTTTTTCAATTACACTTTTAAATTTTGAGTTATTGAATGACATACAATTAAAATACAGTTTTTGATACTGTTACAACATTGGACCTCTGATTTAAGTTGCCATGCTATTGCCACTACACTTGATTTATTTACTGCTACTTCAACAACTACTCATAAAGGTATAGATATTGTATTGTCTCATTATTCTCTTCCGTATAGAAACACAAATCCTCTCTATAGTGGAAACCATGACGACACAGGCCACGCTTGAGCAGGTGCTGAACTCCAGGATTGTTCATTGTCTTACAGTTGACACAGTAAGACCTGAGCCATTAAAAACTTTGAGAGCGCCTTTAAAAATGAAAGAGGTAATTTCTCCTCTGACCCGCTCCTGTCTGCCTCTGGTAATTACATAGTTCTGTTGCAATCCTCAACCTCTTATTATTAAAACATGCATACGCTCTAGTCATTTACCAAATCCTAATTATTGTACTTTTGTTAAATGATTTTTCCTCTGCGTTTTTCCATTTTCACTGACTTGGGTTAAGATGGTGTTGTATAGAATGATAAGTACCCTGAATGTGCTTTTCTTCAAACGCATGTACTAGTACATGTTGAGACAATGCAAGTGAATTATCTCTAAAGCTCTTTTTGCATTGAGAAGTAGCCATATGTACATGAATACATTTTAATTAATATATTCTTTCTCATTATATTTTATTTTTTCTTGTTTAATTGAACCAACTGTAGCTGCCTGCCCTGGCTATAACAATTTATGTGCTTAAATGTGCACAGTAATTTGCATAATAATATTGATTCCTTCTATGCATACTACTAGGACCTTGAACCATTTTACCTATTTCTATTTGATTATTAAAGGTGCACTATGACACTTTTCTGGTAGAGGTTCCCCCAGAGGTTTTCTATGGAAATTTCACAGTATTAAATTTGTTACAGGTTGCATTGCTTAACAATGCACTGACAAATAAAATCTGTGGTGGACCCATCACCAGAAAAGTTTCATACTGTAGCTTTAATCCTATAAAGTTACAATATATTTAGTCACTTAAAATTACAAGTAATTCTTCTACCTGTACCTGTACTGAACAATGTTACCCAAGGTAGTCTTCGGTGCTGTTACCCCAGAAGGCTCTTAAGCAGCAGATCCGCGGACACCTCACTGTTTTATTAAAGCCCTTACAACACTGGGTCCATTATCCAAAGGACTTTTTCATTTAACAAGTGCAAATGTTAATTGGATCAGATCAGGGCTGAAATAAAGCAGCAGTAATGGCAGAATATGTTTGGCGGAACTGGCTAACAGCTTAAAGACACAATTTTTTTCTCATGTATTTGAGCAAAATTTGAATTTACCTCACAACTGTCTGCATCTGATTATAAAGTGTTTTATTGTCCAATGACTGGGAACTGCTCTGGTTTCTGTTGTGAAAAGCATTTATAAAGTCATCACAGTGAATGAGGTGATTATTTAGGTAATTATTTAGAGTACTTTGCTGGGTCCTATTAGCCTGATTCATCAGCCGGTTTCACTTCGTGGAAACCGTCTGACCTTGCAGCATTAGGATTCGTTTGCTCAATGGTAGGTGGGTATGTAATGGGCTCACTAGTATATTAAGCTTTTCCCAAATCCTGTAAGAAGAAGGGCAATAACGTCTCCCCTTGATAAAATTCAGCAAACATTCTCTTTGTTCCCGCTTTAAATCCTCAGGATTCAGATCTCAGATCTCAGGAATCGTTGCAAACACAGAATGTATGGCTTCGTCTAAATCCATCGCAACCACTTTGTTTATTGTTGTGCTGTACCACACAGCTCTTCGCTGATTGGCTGGTGCATGGTCTACAACTTCCGGGTTTCTTGCAAACCGTCTAGTGTATTACGATTCCTGACCTAGTCGCTGGAGAGAAATGAAATTGAGTGGAGGCACTACGTGGCACCAGCCTGGCTAGGGTCCTATGCATCCCTATCTCTATTACCAGATATAGATAGTTGTGTGTGAGTGTGTGCAAAGTTACCTTGCAATGGGTTGGTGGCGCTGACCATATTTGGGTGAGGCACAGCGCAGGTCTGAAGGATCCGAGTTTGAGAAATACTGGCTGAGAGCATCTCCTGAGCTGCACAGATATGGGAATAACATGACATTATCCTCCTTTGACATCCACAGGTACAGAAAGTAGGCTAGTGTCCAGTTTTTCTATACAGAAGTGCCTCACCTGTCATCATGCCATAGGCCTGCTGGTTGCCATAGTGACAGGGGGTGACTGGATAATGTAGGCTTGGGGGTGCATTTCCGAGGGGAGTGGTGGAGAGGTGCATGTGAGAGCGTTTGGACGACTGACCCAGGGACAGTCCAGAGGAAACTGAAGGAAAAACAGTTATTTGGTTATTCACTAGGAAGAACTACGCCATAACAATGAAACACAATAAAGATAGTTATTGATGGATAGATGTGATGGCTGGGAGGAGACTCTGGATGAGGGCTCGGTCTCAGGTGGTCAGCCTAGCCGATTCAGGACCCCCCCCTCTTTGAAGATGTCTTCAGGTGAAGGATGGACAAGAGGCACGAGGTGGGAGGGAGGGGGTTGAGAGAGCGGAGACAAACGGTGTTGTCAGGATAGTCTGTATAAATAGGGCTTCTGGGTAATTGAAGGCGTGATTGAGCTGAGCTGTGGTTTGCTGGAGAGGAGTAGGCGGAGGTTGAGACGTGGTTCTGCTCCTGAATCTCAATCAATCATATTCACTCCACTTTTATTCTTGTTAAAGGGCCCATTTTTGCTGTTTTCTAATCTGTGTTACAATGTCGTTTCCCCATCAAAAACACCTAAAATTGTGTTTTGGTTCATTCACTAATGTACAAAACCCTGTATGTTTAAGTACTTATCTCAAACTGAAAACAATCTAGTCCACCTTGTGATGTCATGTGATAATACAGGAAATGCTCCACTGTGTTTTTAAACTCCATACACCTTCACTAGAATCATTTGGATGATTTCAGCTCTGGAAATGCCAGTCTTTACTGAACTAACAGTATGAGGTAGATGTTAACTTAAAAACTACCAATACATGACATCACAAGCTAGGACTGAGCATTTCAATTCCAAGTATGTTTATGATGAGGCAACAGTATGACTGAAAGTTCATAAGAAACCATTTTGTGTAATGTAGGATCTTTAAACTATGTAAAATTCGCAGTGGAAACCTTTTTTCCCCCAGTGTCCACCACGAACCATGAATGCGAATGCTATCCACCTTTAAAGTCTGACACACTGATTGTGACTGCCAAGTGTGGAGAAAATTACAAGGTACCCTATACACTAGAAGCAATATATTTCTATACTAGAATACAGTATTTTTGACACATAAAAAGCAAAAGTAGCCATCCGCCCATCTCCTTTTAGCTTTAGAAATGTACTGATAGCGCTTTTACATTCCAAATTTACTGTATACAGGCCTAATAGCAATGCCTGACGCTGCTATTTAGTTTGAATTAGTTTGGTCCATCCCTAGGCATATCACAATAACACATATTGAAACAGGGTATATGGGTACACGGATATATTATGATAAACAGTAAAACTGAAACTACTTTATGGTACAGATACAATGGGAATTATATAAGATAATCCTTAAAAAAAACACTTTTAAATAGACAATATCATTAAAAGGCCTGGGCTGCAACAAATAAATAGCAAAATGAACCAATAAGTAGCTCTGGAAGATAGTTATTAAACCCTCTACAGCTCAAATCTTATCTTATTAAAACAAAAATAACAAAAAATCTCCAGATTATTGCAAAGAAAATGTGCACATGATAAATATTGAGCCCCAAAATATATTGCTTCTTATATTGAAGTAACGACATAATAACTTCAAATAACTCTAGGATCTTAGCCAGTATATAAGGACAACTGAAGAAAACCACTGGCTCTACTGTACAAGCTAAATCTTCATTTCCATATAAATTGTGTGTACCTATTCATATATCCGTATATACTTTTTTTTTTTTTCCTTATGTCCATAAGAAAATTCCTTTTCTTTTGGAAAACCATCATTACGTTGGAGAGGTGGTTGATGCTGCTAACGTTATGTAATATATTATTTATTATTGAAATCTTTTATCAACTTAATGTGACAGCAAAAGACCAGTGCACTGAGATGTGATTATAATTTTGATACAAACACATTCATTATTCTTAATCCTGGCACTGCAAAGATTCATCATAATGCAGCTCATATAAACTGCACATTGCTGAGTAGATATGTGTATTATATGGAAAAAAAAAACATCTCCTCTTATAGGTACTTGGAGGTGGCAGATGGGGAGATGAATGCAATACAGGAAGCAAATTATCCCTGCTAGATGACACATTTGGAGTACACTGATTTGGCATGAACGATTTAAAACATGGGCTAAGTGCCTGCTCGCATCCTCACTGCCTTTCTATTTTTAATTCAATTGTTCATTCAAGTATTTATATTTAAAATGGGCATCTGCAAGTAAGGGACTAATAACATTTAAAGAGCCCATATTACACTGTTTTTTTAATCTATGTTATAATCTTGTTTCCTCATCAAAAACATACCTATAGTTGTGTTTTATTTGTTTGTTTTGTTTCATTCATGCATGTTTAACACACAAACCTGCATATATAGGCTGATTCTTCTGTGAAAGAGAAAATGCTCTGTTCCACCTTGTGATGTCATGTGGTAATAAAGGAAGTCCTCCACTGTGTTTGTAAACTCCATACGCCTTCACCAGAATCATTTGGATGATTTCCAATCTGGAATCTCTACTGAACAAAAGGTAAAAGTAGCTTTTAATTTGAAAACTGCTGCTTCATAACGTTACAAGATGGAACAGAGCATTTTGAGCTTTGGAGGTGTAGAGAGAATAATAATAAAGTGTTACATGTGTGAATGAAACAAAAGCTTGAGGTACGTTTTTGAAGAGGTAACAACATTCTAACATGGCTTAAAGCTCACAAGAGTCCATTTTGTGTACTATAGGAGGACAGTTTGGTGATTTGATCGCACTGGTGACATTTGATCATATTTTACTGCTAATGTTAATGATGAACTAAGTTAGTCTTATAATAATTATAATATAATGAAATGTGTATTTTTAATGCATGTTCATCTGCCCGGGAACTGCAGTTGGAAAACAGCAGTAGACAAATCTGGTACAAATCATCTTTTCTTTTGTATGACTAGTGACTTTGTACATGGGCCCTGGCAAACAATAAACTTAACCAAACTTGTTATAACGTCTTACAAAGATTTTAGCAGAGCAAAGTAACACATTCTCACTATGCATCTCACTTTACAAAAGAGAGTAGAGAATTATTAACCCTAAAATATGTCAAGTATATTTTTAGAACAATTTCTAGTACTGGTCATACTATTTTATGTGCTATTACTTCAGCATGGGTGCATTTTAGGAGGGACAGTTTTTTTTCAGCTGTGAAATTGGTTCAGAATAGTTTCAAATAGATGACAGCAGAAGGAAGATATCATCACAATATACTAAACATGGGATTCAGTTTCTTTTAATATATACAGTTTTGATGGTTGACCATTCAAAATCTAGGATATTTGATTTTAAATCGTTATCTCTATTGCAACTAATTTTGCATCAACCTAAAACTCTTAGATGATATGCAGTGGTGGTGGTGGTAATTGTAGTGATATTTGTAGTAGTAGCAGTACTGGACTAGTATTTCTTTATGTTGCATACTTTTCTTTTTTGTTTTCTTCTCATATTATAAATTCATTTAAATTTTGAGCACTTCCGTGTCCTCACCCTGCTTTCACAATGGCTTTTATATTGTTCGGTCTCAAACTATTCTTAGCCATCTTAGCCTCCGTATAGTTCCCAGTGTATTTTGAACCGAAACAATAGCACAGAGCGGGCCCAGGAAGTTTTACCCACAATGCCCCATGATGAGAAGGGCCTCAGGAAGTTTAATTATCCACTTCTTAAACAGCTGAGCCAGACCAGCTGAATACATGCATTTACATAATAAGGTCTGAATACGAATCACTCAGACAAATGTAACTTACAGTTCATATGCATTAAGAGGGGAAGTTCACCCAACAAAACCTAACAGGGCTACTACTATATATGTGGTGATATTCCTTGTACTTGTGTAGTACAAGTATACTACTATGACTACAATAAAACTTGATATGTGTATTTCTTGTTAAATGCAATAGAGTGAACTTTGTCTTTGTCTCACTGGCAGCAGGGGACTATGGACCAGTAGACTCACTCTGCCACTGCATCCAACAGATCAGTGTATGAATGCAAAACAACTTTCTCCAGCTAAACTCAGACAAGACAGAAGTCATAGTCTTTGGCCCACAAAAACAAAGAAACAGTGTTAGCAGTCACCTCCAGTCTCTCTCTCTAAAACTTTCAAATCAGGGGTAATAATGGACTCAGATTTGAACTTTAACAGCCACATCAACTCAATAACATCTGCAGCCTTTTACCACCTTAAGAACATAGCAAAAAATCAAAGGTATACTGTCTAAAGCAGACTTGGAGAGACTTATCTTATATGCATTTGTCTCCAGTAGGTTAGACTACTGTAACAGCCTGCTCACTGGCCTCTCCAAACAAGCTGTGAGACAGCTGCAGAACATCCAGAACACTCGGTTTCTGACTCTATCCAGTACAAGCACATGCGTCCTGTGCTCAGGTCTCTGCACTGGCTTCCTGTGGCTCATAGACTTTAAAGTGGCTTTGTTGTGTACAAGTCTCTCCATGGCCAAGCACCAAAGTACATCTGTGACATGTTAGTGCCATATGAACCATCTTGCACTCTGAGAACCTCAGGGACTGGCCTCCTGCTGGTGCCCAGAGTCAGGACTAAACAAAGGGAGTGAATATTTCAGATTCATGCAGGGCCTTGCCTATTAAGGGGCCCATATTTGAGCTGTTTTCTGATCTATGTTATAACGCATTTGTTTCATTCACACATAACAAACAAATCCTACACATTTAGACTGAGTTCTTCTCTCAAACAGAAAGCAGGAAATGCTCCAATGTGTTTTTAAACTCCTTTCACTTTCACCAGAATCAGTTAGATGATTTCAGCCCTAGAATTGCCTCTACTGAACTACAGGTAAAAGCAGCTGTTAACTTGAAAACTACTGCTTCATAACATCGGCAGGTGGATCAGAGCAGTTTGATCTTTGAAGTTGTAGACAGACTAATAATAAGGGATTACTCAAACATGTATGAATGAAACAAAACACAGCTTCAGGTATGTTTTTGATGAGGTAAACAACATTCTGACATGGATTTTAGAGCTCAAGAGAATCCAATTTGTGCAATATAGGACCTTTAATGTAGGGAAGACTTGCTTTTCATAGGCAGAAATCCATATCTTGTTTTTTTATTGCCATAAACAATGAAGTAAAATAGAAAAGTAGCTATTTGTTTTAAAATTTGGAATACACTAAAAGTTTAGATTCTAAAGTTTACTATTATAGGGTATTTTTCTTGAACAAGTGTATTATTTTGGAGAATATAATTGAATAATGTCCAAATGTACTACAAAAACATACTTTGAAAAATATGATACAAGCCATCTCCTTTGTTAATGAGTTAACTTTCTATAAATAAGTGCCTGTCTAAACAAATATACAAATGCTACATACAATTTGCATATGTCCAGTGTGTTTGTGTTTGTTGTTATTGCAGTAGTGTGGCTGTTGTTTACCTGCAGACACCATGGAGTGGGCGTGAGAGCCAGAAGACAGGCAGTCGCTGGTGGACGCGTGATGCATCAGGATGGGCAACTCCGGAGCCAGAGGACTGAACGAGTCTGTACTGAATGCCTGGCATGCCATCGCTGCCTGCTCTCCCTCTCCCCAGACGCTTCCACCAGCTAAATTTCAACTAATACGGCACTCTAACAATTGCAGATGGTCTCTATTTATTCCATTATGCTGTTTTGTTGACTCAGCTTAATCCCAAAATGTGACCTAATTTGTCTCAGCTATCTTTCTCTCGCTTTTTTGCCCTTGTCTTGTCTATCTGGGGAATTTGCAAGTAGAAACTTTTTTTTTTTTGGTTTTCCTCAGCTATCTCAACTGAAACTTTACACTTTAATGACTGTAATCAGTGTCATTTCATTCATTTTGTTGTTTTATTGACTCGACCTCATACTAATTTTCACCTAATTTGTCCAAACTCTCTTTCTCCTTTCCTTTCAAGAAGGATCTTTACCCTTTTCCTTGTCTTCCTAGCAAGTAGAAACTCTTCTGTCTTCTTCTCAAAAATCAACTAATACTTGATAATGCGTTAATGACTGTAAATCGTGTTATTTATTCCACTCTTGTTTTCTTGATTCACCCTAATCCTAAATTGTGACCAAATTTGTCTCATTGATCCTTCTTTCCTCCTTCTTTTCCCCTTTTCTTGTCTGTGTGGGTAATTTGCAGGTAGAAAAGTGCAATAGCCACGTTGTTGCTTTCCCCCAGCTAAATCTCAACTAATACTTAACAGAGGTTTAAGAACTGTGACTGGTGTCTATTCATTCCATTTTGTTGATTTGTTGACTCAACCTAAATCCCCCAAACTCCCTTTCTCTCCTCTCCCTTTGCCCTTTTTCTTGTCTGGCAGGGGAATTTGCAGGTAGAAAAGTGCAATAGGTTACTCACTTTTTGCTTCCTCCAGCTAAATCTCAACTAATACTTGTACAATGTTAAAAGCAATGCAAAATACAATATGGCTGGTGTCTATTCATTATTATGTTTTTGTTGTTGACTCAATCTAATTCCAAATTGTTACATAACTTCTCCCAGGGATCTTTTTTTCCTTCTTCTTTGCCCTTTTTCTTGTCTTTTTGATCCTTTTGGTCTCTGCCTCAGTCAAGCATCGCCGCCGCTCAGTACCTGGGGAGTTTTCAGGTAGAAAAGTGCGAAAGGTTACCGACTTTTTTTTGGTTTTCTGTGTTGAAGGAAATAAAAAAGGATGTCAGCAGTTCTGCCACTGTTCTTCACAGTTTTAGGCACTGCTACACTCAGCCAAAACTTCCCCGGAAAAAAATAGTATTAAGTCTCAAGTTGCGATTCAGTGCATTGTGCTTCTCTCATTAAATGTCTATGCCTGCGGTTCCCAAACTTTTCACACTGACAAACAGTAAACAAAAATGAGAAATGCAATTGCTAACAGTGTACAGTGGGAAATTAAAGACAACTTATGAGCTGTATAACTGTAGCCTAATAGGTGTCAACAACTTGCCTCTATGAAGATAAATGCCATACTGTGGTGCATTCAAGGCAAAGTTATAGTATTTTCATGGAGATGAAGCTGGTGCACTCACACCAGAAATACTACGCAGTGATAACAGATTTTTTTTTTTTTACTGAACATTGACGAATCAAAAAATTTACTAACCAGAACTTAATCAAGACTAAATCTGGCCTAAATAAATTCAAACCCAGGACTTAAAATAACTGAAATGGAAACTGAAGACTAACATAAGAAATGCCATATGAAATCCTGCACTGAAACCAAGACCTGGTACTGAGCCAGGGCAAATAAACAGGTCTAAAGGCAAGACTAAAACTGGACCAAAACCCAAACTCATTCAGCACTGAAAAGTAATCTGAACTTTAAACAAATTAAACCCTAATCATCATCAGTATTACTATCACTACCTCCAGATACTAAACTTGGTCTTAAAGTATGAAAAACACCATCATAATAAGTTTGCGTACCACCATCGACCCGTGCACCACTGCTGAGAAGCCCCGGTCAATGCGATGCTCCAATCTGTCAGTCCCAGCCTCAGCATCTCATGGGCCTTTCCACTGCAGGTATTTATATCCCACCTGTGCTCTGCTTTTCCCATCAGCCCTTGCTCTTGCCAATCCCAGAAGAATCAGTGATCATTGGTGTTTGCCCTGACCTGTATGTCTCCCATCCCGCTCCCAAAGCCGGGATTAGGGACCAGAGCGGTGCAGAAACCCGATCCAGAGAGCTCTTCCTCCTCTTATCTCTCTGTGAGTGAGGGCTGCACTGTGGCGGCAGACACTTAGCATGTCACAACAAAATGACCTCCAGGCAACACCAGTTTATTGTTTATTTCAAGCTTTTGTTTGGAATGGACAAGTTTCACAATATTTGACTTTACTGCAATTTACCAATAAAGCTTTTAATTAACAATGAGGAGAAATTATTTACAAATTCAATGCATAAAAATGAGGGGAAATAATTTCATAAGAAATATTGTATTTGTTTTCACTTAATTATAATTACAACTTTCAGTACCATAATTGAACAGAATGAAAATTTTAATACATGTAATCTTTAAATTCTTTATTATTTTGTGTTTCCTGTATATTGATTTATGTTCTTTTTCACATAGCAACACTACCTCTTCTAAAATCCTATGGTACTGACCCTATCTTGGGAGTTCTATCTTTTCACTTCCTGACCTGTCCCCTCCAATTCCCCGTAGTATTACCTCACAATGACACTGGAGGCTTGACTATTGTCTTATATTGTCTGTGAGGTGTTCATAAAGTGTTGTACGGTTGGGGAGAGCGAGTCTCTACAGGAGAACAGGTTAATCTTTGGACGCGTGTGCTGTTGTTGTTGTTGTTGAGTTTTGTTGATCCAGGCTTTGCTACACTATTGGAGATGTTGGTGGGCAGCAGCTGGGAGAGAGAGAGAGAGATGGTGGGTGGTAGGCACGACACAACATGCTGCAGATCTGCAGCCTGTGAGGCTCCGGCCGCTGACAATAGCTCTTTTCTATTTTCTTTCACTTTTAGTTTTACAACATAGAGCACATTCACTGTTAGAGCTGTGGGCAGTAATGATGCAGGGACATCAAAGAGGGTCTAATTTTAGTCTACAGTAATAAGTAACTGTTTAAAATGGTATGAATAAAAATATCACTGAACCACTTTAACTCAAAGGGCAGTCATAGTATTGTATATATATTTTGATTTACAATATGATTTTACAAATGACTATATACAAATCGCTTACACTTTCAGAAATAATTTTCACTCAATACATTACAATTAAATGTTTGAATCTGGAAAATGCAGCCACTATATCCAATTACTGAAGTACTGTTTTCTCAAAAATATTTCTAGTATCATATTTAACTTTTCAAGTGGAGGGTCCCCAACTTAACCCTGTAGAATGTTCAGTCAGTGTGGCATTAAACCTCTCAACATGGAAACAAGCAGGAGGGAGGCAAGCCCACTCACAGTAGAATGCATGTTTATCAAGATACGTATTTAGCCACCTATAATTCATTAAATGAGAGAGGGAACATTCTCTAGGCAAAACAACAACATACATGGACAGAAGCAGATAGTGGCCATGAATTAATTTGTTGAGAAAAGGAATGGCCGCATGCAGTGCTTCTCAACTTTAATTTATAGTTATCCCGAGTTGCGTTAAAGCTTACATAATAAACAGCGTGATATTGTGAGAGAAAATAGTCTCAGACCAGAATGGCAGAAGAATTCTCAAAATATTTTCATGTCTTTTTATTGGAGCTACACCCACACAGGCTAAAAGACCACCCTCCCAGCTGGTAAAAGACTGCAGTGTTTTGTACGCACCAAATCACCTCTTTTAAGGCTATTACATTTTTACAAAACAGTCACTGCCACTGTCAAACCTTTGGAAAATTAGCAGTAGTAAAATGACTTGGGACATCTGTTACAACTGGTGGCTAAATTATTTTCAATGACAGATAATGATAGTGGTTAGTAAGAATATGTGTGTGTGGGGCTCTCGAGATCTCAGTCTAATGGGGATGAATTTGCCTTTGTCTTTTAACAGTAAACAAGCACATTTTAAGATATCTGAACTAAATTTAAACAGAAAGACAGTGCAGGAGCCTGGAGCTGGAGGAGATGAGTCAACAGTGAAAAAACAACCGCATGATATCTACAAAATGTTCAGATATTATGAAAGCATAACACTGCATAATACAGTACAATAAAAAAGGCCATTGTCTACACTATGAAATGTGTGATATTTTGAGACTCATTCTTCTAAACTAAAACTAAATTCAGTCTGACACACATACTTTACAAATTAAATCAACATGCAATTAAAGGGGCACTATGTAACTATTCTTGTGGGGGGTCTGACCCCTGCTTGTCTCCATGGAGATGTTATTACTTTGCCTGTAATGTTCTACAATATGGCATTTCTTTTATCTCACGGGTCTCCACAAAGCCAAGCTAAAGGTCAGGTTTTCAAAGAATTATTTCATTTAAAGTACAGGCCACTGTCATTTAATTTTTAATTTTATTTTATTTTATTTGGTCAATGTATAACTCATTCCAGTCTACATATATACATACAGCTTGATGCCTACAAAAAAAAAACATTCAGTATGTAGAACCTTACCATGAAATCAAACTGATCAATGACCTTGTGCAGGCACAAGCTAAAGCTTATAATACCTACCCTTATTTATTAATTTGAATTTTTTTCAGCCAGCCACCAGAAAAGTCACAGAGTGCACCTTTAAGCATGCAAACAATTTGTACTGTTACCTTTATTTAGCCAGGGGACCCAGTCGTGTACCAAGGGCAAACAAAATCTAGAGAACCTGCAAACTTCACATACAAAGTTGCCGCCAGGTCTGGGACTCAAACCCGCAACCAGTCTGTAGAGAGGTGAAGTGACTATGACCTTCATGCCACCATGCGCAGCTTATAAGGATGTGTTTGGCAGTAGTTAGTTTGCAATAAAGATCCAATTTAATTAAAACACCAAAGAAAGTACAAAGAAACATTGTGCTGAAGGTCTCAACAATAGATTTGTCCTTGGGCCTGGATTTGTTCAGGATAAATGAATACGGCTGGTTAATGTTTTCTCCACTTGTTCCACAGTGCCACAAAATCATTCAGTTCTTTTCAGTTGGTCAACATTTACAATTGCAGATGTACTGAGTGAGACAAGGCCATAGGAGGTCAAGGGTTTAAAATCACGCTGATATTGCTGCTGTGAAGTGTATTCAAACTTAAACAGGTTAAGCTGAAAGCCCAGTACATGATTTTCAGATTTTATATTTTATCAACTCTCAATAAGTTCTGCATTGTGATATTTAAACCAGCAATAATAAAATGTTTAATTTAAATGTTCAATGGGCAATCTGTCTGATGTGGGTGCACCAGCATCGTCTCTATGGAAATGCTTGTGCTTTGCCTTGAGTGCACAGAATAGCATTCATCTCCATGGAGACAAGTTGTTGACATCCATCAAGCTACAGGTCATAAGTTACAGGTCATATTTGTGGAGAGGTGACCATGTTCACTGTAAAATGTGTGTAATAAATAATAACACCTGTAACTGAATAGTTCTAAGAGAGATAAGTTTAATGCCATACCATAGAATCTACATTGTGCAACATTAATAACAATGTAACCCACCCAAGTTTTACTTGTTGAATTGGAAATGTGTTCCTTTAAATTTCATTTAACTATGCAGTGTCATATGCGCCCAGTAGACAGTGCTGTAGTTTCTGTTGCAAATGCACACCATCTTGTGAAGAAGCTGGACAGCACATGTAAGCTCTATTGTGCAAAAATGTGGTAAAATATTGCTTAAATTGTCAAATAACAACTTGTTTTTGGTTCTTAGAGATACGTCAAATTGTAAAGTGTTCTGGAGAGGAAGTTTTATCTAGGTTTTGTTTGTTCTTGTTCTCCGGTGAGTGTTAAGGTGATATGCTAGCTTCATTTTGTTTTCTACCTTGACTTAACTACATGATGCAATGACCACTTATTATTTACATGATTCAGAGAATGTATAAAAAAAACAACTGGAGAAATATATATATAACTATGTACAAATCAGAACTTATATACAGATTTTAAGGGTTGTTACACTACCATGTGCACTGTTAGTGCCACATGTTGAATACTGTGCATTGTGTAAAGGAAACCTACAAGCTACTGTAATCCAGTTAAAAGTAGTTCGAAATGATTTAAACCAGATCTGAATTTGTGCTTTGCGGAAATTGTATTAATGTTGCCCTGCTTGTGCAGGTTGGTTTTTTTGTTGACCCGAATTGACCTGGGACTGTTCGCTGTGAGGCTGGAGTCACTGGATCCAGGACCTGTGGACCTGCTGGACGCCTTGACGTCTCTTCTTGGTGGACCTGGCCTTCATTGCAGTACAGCTGAATTAAGCTAAGATCTTGTGCACCAACGAAAGAAAGAAACAAAAAATTCATACTACCCGGGTAGATGAGACACAATAGTTTTTTTTCAGAGCACTGAACTTTTTATTTTGAAAGGACAAATTGTTGGACAAAAGGACTGATTTATGTAGGGGTAAGCTGGTAATATTTGGGGAAGAATATTGATTCTGTTCAATAAATTTTACACACTTTTCTCATTTCAACCTACAGTCTAAATTTATTACACCTTCTTTCCTCCTTTAGAACCTAGATTCCTGGGTACACGTATCATTCATATCTTACTAGTTCGTTTGGTACAGGTTACAACAACACATCATTTTTGGGAGATTTTCAAAAGATCTATCAAATATTGCTGTTTCAATTCACATAAACATAATAAACAATCATATAAATGTGAAGAGTACTCTGCTGAAGGCAATCAAGAGCTGTATAGTTGCAGACAGTGCTTTCAAACGAGAGAGATCCAGTTGGATTTAACTGTATAAGATAATGTAATGTATAGGTTAATTCAAGGCTGGGGGAATGGTGGATGTACACGTTTCCCATGGTGCAGCTCTCACACAGACACACACATGAACAATACCTGTCCCAATGTAATTACACCAGAGAGCATGAGTCAAAGGGCCACAGTCAAGCACCTGCTCTGGGCCAGCCTCACCTCACCATCCAGGCCCCCCACACCCCCCTGCACCCACAAGCCAATCTCCCAGTCACAACATATAGCGAGAGGGTAGTATCAACAAAGTTAAAAGTGAATGTCCTGATTTTTTTACGAGGCCATAAATAAAGCATAATAAGCAATTATAGATTTCCAGCTAATTATGTTTAAGAGTTTTTAATTCAATCAAAATTATATTAGAGTCATTCAACTTTGAGCAGTCCCTATTCTCCACTCAAGACGTCATTGCTTCAAAAATTCCTGTTTTCCCTTACCCCTTTTACATGCCCACTGCTCTGTACTTTATTTTTTTAAACACTTATACAGTAACATAAATAACCTGAGGTAGCAGTGAGATCATCTTTACCCAGCGTCAGAGGGTGACTAGTTCAAATCCCGCCTGAGCGTATACAGGGTACTTCTCCCAGTGTCTCTCCTGTCAAGACATACAAGTTGCTTAGACAAATATTATGATGTGCAGTGTGATCCCTTAAAGGTGCAGTATGTAAACTTTCTGGTGGAAAAGTTACTCGTCTCCTTAGAGAGGTTGTTTGTGCTGAGAATGTTCTATCTTACATTTTTCTTTCTCTGCATAAAAAATAAAGTGGCGCCGCCAAGACACAGGCAATAAAACAGCAGTAAACTGTAATCAAATAAATACAAGACAGATAAGTTTAATGCTATTCTGCGGAACAATCCAGGCAAAGCAATAATATTCCTGAGACAAGCAGGTGCCCCTAAGAAAAAAAGCAAATCAAAAGTTCATGAATAAACTTTGAGAATATTCTTTTCTTCATCTAGCTCAGAATAAATTCCCTCCACAGATGCTCAGTTGCTGTTGTATGGGAACTGGGGGAGCGGGCATTCACACAGGTATCACAGCAGTGCACAAGACAGCAGATGGACTCAGGCAAAAGCAATGGTTATAAAGGGATGGCAACATATTTCCCAGATGTAATAAATATGTATTGACTTATATGTGTTTGCACGCATCTAAATGGTCTGACGTGTCTGTACCTTAAAACCACAAGAGGGTGAAACAAGCCAAAACTTTTAACACTTCATATATTAATTAGCTGCTAGTACTAATTGGAAGTGTGGTTTGTGTCAAATGTGTTTTATTTAAGATATAGAACAGGGTAATTGAAGATGTTGGAAATTAATTAACTTGTTTATTATTCTTCTGCCTATGAGAGTGCATTTCATTTAGGCAAACTTGCTTGTTGTCGGAATAAAACTTGTCAACGGCTTGTGTAATAGCTACAGAAAAATATATACAAGAGTTTCAGAATTGTGAAATATTATAACTTGTCTAAGAAGCTGACATCCATGAATACATATTTTTGTTTTTGGTTTGTGTGGCTGTGTGAGGGTTATAAGTGCACTATGTAACTTTTGGGGGTCCATCACGTCTTGTTTCTGTCATGCTTCAAATGTTCCACAATATGACATTAAACAGATTACCTTACATTTACTCAATTACAGGTGGTTTTATAGCTCAAAAATATCTTGAAAAACAGGCTTTCTGACTGTGCCTCCTCTTTCTGACCTGTAACTTAGTCTGGTTTGGTCTCCATGAAGATAGAAAGGTTTAATACCATACTGTGAAACATTAAAGACAAATAACAGCTCTATGAGAAAAAGTTACATAATGAACCTTTAACAGAAATGGTTAACATACAAAAAAAAAGATTAACATATCCAACAACTCCACTGCAGGACTTAAAGACGAGAGTAAAGACGACACAACTATTTTGAGACGCACAGATAAGTTGGTGAGACAGCTTAAGGTTCCATTGTATTTATTTTTATCTCAATTTAGGTTTGTTTGCATAAATTGTCTCTTTCAATTTAGTCATTTAAATAGGTAAGAAAACATTTTCTTCTTTTGACTCAACACAATAGAGTGAGGACACAATCAGTTCATTCTAATGTTCATGTAGTTTGGTTTTCAAAGGCATTTCATCAAAAATAAAGAAGACAAAAAGTACAGAAAGTATTAGAAGTATAATATATTCCGAGGCAACAGTAGATGACAAACCAGATGACTACCGTGGGTGAACGAATGCACAGTAAGAAGAGGGCCAAACACAGCTCTTTACTGAAATATACAAACACATGGAGACATTTCTGACAGTGGAGTGGACATGAACATTGAGGCATCAGCAAGGTACCCCAGACTCAGAGGTCAGGGAAGAGAAACTGAGGTGCTCTAGTGCCACAGATTGGCCTGACCAAACTAAAGGTCCAAACTGTATAATGCCACATTTTCCCTTCTGCCATAGCTGCCATTATATCACTGCATATGAAGTATAAAAGTATAGAAAATATGGGGACCACTCTAATATCCTGCACAATATGCAATAATTTCAAATACAAAAATAAAATTCAAAAATCAGTTTGTGCTGCATGTGACAAGGTCAAAGCAACAGTACTGAATGACAAAGCACTCAAATGTTTTATTCACACTTGTTTTTGAATGCACTCCTGCTCACTTCACAGAGGAACTAACTTTTAAGGGTCACAGAAAGAACCCACTGAGCACTTTTAAAATGACATTTTTGATTTTTAATATATCTCCATGTTTTGTGGCATGGTGATTCGAAAAAATGATGCAATACTAGTATAATGAATCGTAATCCATGCAACAAACTAAAACATTGGTCAAAGCATCACAACATTCTTGAGTAAAAACTTCAAGTGTTGTGATGAATTGTCCAATACTAAGTACTGACGTGTTAGCCATTACAGCTAATTCGGTTAAATTACTCAAATGATAAAACACATTTTAATACATTGGGAATAGTTTGTTTGTTTTTGTTTTTACATTTAGTTCCATAAAAAACTGTGGGGCATTAAGTTGAATTTATGGTTTAAAGAATACCGTAATTAGACTGGCCAGTTGGCGTGTTGTATTCTCACATATCACCACTAGATGCTATCTACTTTACTGTCTGATAGTGTACTGACTTTGGTCTGACAGAAGGAGCCTAGAAAGCCCAGGTGAGCCTAAACAAAGGCCAGGTGAAGGGAAGGGGAAACAGATTTCACAGCTGCCATCCACTGGTGAAAAAAACAAACTTATTACAGTAATAAACTAAAGCGAATGGTTGCTTTAAGTAGAATTTTGGCTTTATACGTGTAAGTCTGGAATTTCTGAAGTTAAGTTGTGTACTGCTAAAACTGATCAAAATGATATCAACTCCAATTGAACCAGTGTGTGTATGCTAATATCTTTGAGTGCCACTCAAGTTTTGACAGTTCTGAGTTCCCCTTATTGTTTCCATAAGTTTTTTGAAAAATGTCAAAGATCTCATTTCTGTGCTGAAGTTTGTTCCTGAGCTGCACTTGTAACAGACTTGGTCGACTCTGTGTGGGTGTGTGCATTTTCTTGTAGCACTTTTAATACTTATAACACTCTTTCAAAATAACCTTGACTAAGAATCTTGAGACCTGTTTTCATTTTGCTTTGTACACATCACCATAAAAGGAAACATTTTATGCTTGATGATCTAACATACATAGATCATTATTTTGCCTTCTGTTCTTTGTAAAAAACAATATTGATCTCTGCAGTGGCTAAACAGGCTAATTAAAAGAAAGAATTGAAAAGCCCTGCCTCGTCATAGCAGCATTTCATCATAATTTTCAAATATGTTTTTTATATAGAGGCTACATGACATTTTTGAACCCTATAAGTATATTAACTTCTCGGGTTCTTTTGAAGACAACACAGTAGGACGTGCATTTACCTTGTATAACCCATAGTCTGAATGTTTTGAATAATTTGAAGTACAGACTTGTGTACAAAAAGCCCACAAACTTTCAATACACCAGATTACTTGCCAATTTTTTTCAATTAAATATGCTGATCTAATATTACTACAAGTACAAAGTTTTTTTCAATGATCCACCTCCACCTCCCCTGAAAGAGTTTATAAAATAAATTTAAATCCGGCAACAAGCGCAGGTTCTAGAGGTTCTGTGAGGCTCTGTGCCTTTTGTTAAGCCTCCAAGACAATCAGTGCACTGTGACTTGTTGGTGCACATGAACATCAAACATTTTCAACAAATCAACTGAATTTCTAACATATTTTAGCCCTGAAACTTCACAAATTCTCCATTGAAATGAATGGGACTGCAGCTAACGCGAAGTGCCTCCAAAAAAAGGGAGCACAGTTTTCTAGCATTTACAGGTAAAAGTGGGAGGGGCAGAATAACATCAATAAGAGAACTGAATCATTGCAAGTACAAAGCAGTGGGTGGAGATAGGGGGTAGGTGAAAACACATTTTCTGAGCACTGAAGCCTCAATTGCAAAACAATACAAGATTACTGAATCAATCAATTGAAATACAACTTTAAGCTAATGATGACAGAACAATGTAAAACTAATTAAAGCATTTCCCCTTTAAGAAGAATAAGAAGAAATGTATTTTCCAGCTTTAAATCAGTTCAAATAAGGCTTATTGAGTCTCGATCAGCAGCTGCTCTGCTGAATTTGTGCATGGTTTTTCTTGTCCTGTCCGTTGGATGTTTGTAAGCAGAGAGGCAGAGGTCACATCTCCTGTTGAATATAAAACACTATGTACTCCGCACCATCTGCTACAACTGCCTTATTCACCAGACCAAAAACACACCAGCCCACCATATCCAACACAGCCCTAATTTCATCAACATATTCAGGAAAGATACATGGAACAGCAAAGGTTAGTGGGGGTACTTCGAAATTTGAATATAGCGACATTATCTCTAGAGATTTTGTAAATGGCACAGATACACTATAATGCATGTTATACTGTAATTTATATCTAATGTAAGACCTGCTTTAGTATCAATGGGTTTTGGAGTGATGAAAAATGATTCGAAACACAATATTCTGTTCAATGATGAAAAGTCCTTAAAGTGATTGCTGGAAAACAGGAAGCTGTAACTCAAGTTAAATAAGTTACATCTTTTCATTTGGATCACTGTCAAATCATCATTTACCATCATACTTTTTCAATTTGAAAAAATAAATAAATACAATAATTTAAAAGTTAAACACCCAATCCATAATGTAATAAAAGGTAGAAACAGAAGTGTTTTTTTTAGTATATGATCACAGACTGGCCACAGAAGTCTATGGGTAAAATGCAGTATCCACATAAGCAAACCAGACCCCACTGGAGAATCAAACTTGGGACTTCCTTGTAATGAGGCAGAAGCACTAACCACCATGGCACCCTGTTGCCTAACTCATTCTGTGCTATTCACTTCAGCTTTTAGTAGTCCTAATGTTTTGGATTAGTATTAAATTAGTGTAATAATGATTTCCCAGATTTATCTAACATGTCATCACCAAATAGGCCCTTTTATGTGGTGTTCTTTTTGTATAACCTTTGAGATCAGGTAACACACAAATTCACAGTTTTGGAGTTTGTGAGCGCTGTCTTTAGAAAATTTCAGCAGCATAAACCCAAAAACAGAATATGAAAGCAAAAAGGTACAACATGTCAAAGCTAATTTAACCTTAAGATTATTATTTTTTTTTAAATGAAGTCTATTGCTCCACACTCGGCAGGTTTGCTTTTCTCACATCCTACACAGTTTTAACACAAAGCAAGTGGAAAATACTGTTAGCTCTATCGCAACAAGCTTTTAAAAGTACTTTCTACCTAAATTATTGACTACATGAATTAAAAAGTACTTGGGTAAAAGTATTTGTCCATCATTACTACTGCTAAGTACCTGCATCTCCAGTAACCATACAATGCTGCTACAACATCAATTACTACAAACAGTAGTATCACTACTACTGCTATCATAATTAGTATATTTGCCATCGTACCAGTGAGGTTAAAGCAAAATAGACCACAAATAATACCACAAATAATTTTAAAGGCGCACTATGCAACTTTTCTAGTGGGAGGTCTGCCATCTGTTTGTCACCATGTAAATGTTATTGGATTGGTCGTAATGTTCCACAGTTTGACATAATAATATATATCTTGGTCTTAGAGGGTACAGGCTTCCCTCTCCTTATATTTGACTTGTAAGTTGGTGTGGTGACAGCGAATGCAAGTTTAACGCCATGATGTGTAACATTCCTGGCAAAGCAATAAAATCTGCTTGTAGATTTGGTAGATCCACCACCAGAAAAGTTAGTCTTTTTCTAGCTCTGAAACACCATAGAAACACACAAAGAAACATCTATATCCACATAGCTGCTGCTGGTATAAAATGCATTGAAAGTTTGGACCTACTGTGTGATTGTGGTTTTCATTTTTCCTTCTTCATGCTCTGGAGCTGCTCTCCCGCTGACTCTGTGCTCCCTCTGCAAAGACACAAACGTTATTGGACTTGTAAATATATTTATTTCACAGTGTGCTGAATGTTTCACGAGACTTTTATTGTACCATCCATATACAACTGTGGTTTGGCTGGCCTTTTTGTCTTTACATAGTCAACATCATGGCCCACTGCTGCT